TGTGATCTAATTACAGGATTAATGTAGATCAATTTGAAAGTGAAAGAATACTATCAAATGATACTGAAGGAGGTCATTCAGATCTGAGTCAAGAAGGAACTTGGATTCAACCAGGAAAAATACACAGGCACTAAAATTGTTTGAGCATTTGACAGTTGAATGACTAATTGGCTCTAAAGAATGGGCCTTCTTTTGGAGTTTACGTTGATGGTCAGGGTATTTAATGAAGCAAGTAACAGTGAGAATCCAATGGTAGATTGTGAATATTAGTCCTCCTTACATCCTCCAAGTGCAATGGTATTTGTCTGTTCAAAAACAAGACTCACTCAAATCTTGGTATTTCGTTCCGGGCTAAAGTAAATATTCAAATTTTGTTGCATTTAGGAGTCACTATCTGATTACGATTCAGGTTGAGCTTATGGTTAAGAATGGCTAATTAGTTCTAAAACAGGAGAGTATGTTTTAGAAATAACATGATTTAATGAACCATTTAAGATGGGCCGTTGACATTTTATTCACAAACTGCACTCAGTATAACAATATTATTTATATTTAAAACAGTCATCATTCCACCAGAGAAACACAAAATTAGAAAATTTAGGGCGGCACAGTTCATCGTGAAGTTTGGCATCTGTGGGCAATGCCGACTCCCACTGATGTCTGCTGTTGTTGTGTCCTTGGCAAGACACTTAACCTCTAGGAACGTCAGGTGCCACAGTGGGGCGTCTGCGGCTGTAAAGTGCCAAGCTGCTGTTGTGTCCTTAGGCAAGACACTTCACCCCCATTGCCAAGAATGAGTCTGGTGTGTGTGTGTGAATAGATGGTGGTGGTCGGAGGGGCCGATGGCACATACTGGTTGCCTCGCTTCTGTCAGTGTGCCCCAGGGCATCTGTGGCTACAAAATTAGTTTTCCACCACAGCTTGTTCTATACACATCCACATCCTCCAATTGTAAACTATACCATTGCCATTTACTGTTCTGAATAAGGTTATGACAATAGACCAAGGAAAAACAAGGCACAAAAAATCTGACTTTTGTGAAAACTTAAGGTCCTCGTTCTGTCAGCTGAACAGGAGCCATTATTTTATTCCATTTTGCTCTATTGGGATCTTGTTTTGGTTGTTGGGCCAATGAAGCACTTCAACAGATCCATAAAGGGAGAGAATAGTCCAAAGTCCAGGTGCATGTGATGTTTCTGTTATGTTTACCTCCATGGCTGTTGGATTTGTGTAATTATGTATTAGGCAGGAAGTCTGCTGAGCTCTCAACAGGCAGTTCCCCTTTCACCAGTGTCACACGTTTATGCCGGATGTCCTACATGGTATAAACTACACAGCGGACCGGATTACGTGCCTCCATTGGATATACATTTGCGATCACATGAGAAGCTATGGCGGATATTCCAGCTCGAGAAATGCTGACCACAGGGTTTGTCCTGACTCAGTTCTCAACAGAAGGTTGGACCTTGAGCTCTGGGTTCACTCATTGTTTTGTCATTATGCAAATATAAAGATGATGTCAGTTAAAGAATACTGTGTCTGTCTAAATTTTATAGCTAAACCAATGTGTCAGGGCTCATCCTTCTGTCCATTCAGAAAGGAGAGGGTTGAGTAAACTGGTGATTGACTACACATTTGGAAATATGAAAAGCAGAAAGACATAAGGCAAATTCCTCTGGCGTTTAACCCTGAGGTGATATGATTCACACTATCACCACACGTTTATGCCTCCTTCTCATTAAACACTAAAAAACATCTCTTAATTCATTTAATCAAATCTATTTTTGTGTTGCCCAAATTCACAACAGCAGTCGTCTCAGAGAAGTGAACATATTCCACTTGCCAACAACAGATTAAAGAATAAAAAAAATAAAAAATAAAATACAAAGAAGCTGGAAACTATTGCTCTTTGTATAGAGTTGGGCTATACTAATATTCAGAGTTGGGCTATGCTAATATTCAGAGTTGGGCTATGCTAATATTCAGAGTTGGGCTATGTTAATATTCAGAGTTGGGCTATGTTAATATTCAGAGTTGGGCTATGCTAATATTCAGAGTTGGGCTATGCTAATATTCAGAGTTGGGCTATACTAATATTCAGAGTTGGGCTATATTAATATTCAGAGTTGGGCTATACTAATATTCAGAGTTGGGCTATACTAATATTCAGAGTTGGGCTATAATAATATTCAGAGTTGGGCTATACTAATATTCAGAGTTGGGCTATACTAATATTCAGAGTTGGGCTATGTTAATATTCAGAGTTGGGCTATGTTAATATTCAGAGTTGGGCTATGCTAATATTCAGAGTTGGGCTATACTAATATTCAGAGTTGGGCTATATTAATATTCAGAGTTGGGCTATACTAATATTCAGAGTTGGGCTATACTAATATTCAGAGTTGGGCTATACTAATATTCAGAGTTGGGCTATGCTAATATTCACTTATCTTGTGTGCCCCTCTTTCCTACTGTTCTGTAACTTTTTATGAAACTCTGAAATCTCCCTACTGTGGGATGAATAAAAGATCTCTTAATCATAAATTAGAGCACAGGAAATGCAATAATATAATCATCACAGATTTAGATCCAGGATTAGGCCGTGGAACATGCATGAGTAATTGTCTGCCCATGTATTCGTTTGGCAATTAAATTAGGTGACAAAATAATACATTGGATTGAATTTCCCTCTGGTGGTAGAAGTGAGAAATACATGCTGAGATGTTTTTGATATACCCATATAAGTAAGTAAGTAATCTTTATTTATATACTGCCTTTCACAGACCAGAGTCACAAAGCAGTTTACATTTGTTATTTTTTTTTGGGCTCCACACAGAGATGGGAGCAGGGTCGCCAGTACAGGAGGCGCATGGCAGACCTATTGTACATATTTTTAGTGGTAGGGGAAACCAGAGTACCTGGAGGAAACCTACGCAGACATGGGGAGAACCACTCAGAAAGGCCCTGGTCAGACCGGGATTCGAACCCAGGACGTTCTTGCTGAGAGGCAAGAGTGCTATCCACTCAGCCACCGTGCCGCCCTATTTTCATAATTAGTAAATAGTATCATTTATCATTTCATGTTTTTCCCTGTCCTCTTTTCTCACCGTTTACCTGCTGCTCTCTAAAAACACCTGTGGCCTTCTTGGACGTGCAGTTATCCTCCTCTTGTTTATTCCTCTCTAAAGCACTTATGGTCCACATGATGTCTGTGACTCACATCTGCTGTGTGTTTTTACTGCAGGAAGTCCATCATTTACTACTCTAAATTTGGGATTTCTTACAAACCAGCAGTTCCACTCATTATCGTTGTAAGAAGATACTCTTTGACTTTTGGGGCTGAGAGCTGAGTGAGGGTGGTCTTCTGTTCTTAACTTTTCTGTCTTAAAACTCTTATCTAAAGAAATACATACACGTGAAAACTAGTGATGAACCAAACCTGAGAACCAAACCTTTTTGATGTTATGTAAACAACAGCTGTAATACGTCAGATAAACTATTCATTCAAATAAGTAAATAATCCTTTACTTTCCTATAGAATAATATGGATATTTCTGAGAGAAAGACCACATTCATAAAGATTTGCTGTGACTGGTGGAAGAATGACCTAGTTGTTTCTGTCTTCATTAGAGAACAGTGGAGGAATTCAACAAGTGTCTTTACAAAGGATCCCAGTGACCCACATTCACTCAGCTCGTATCAGACCAGTCCATATCTGAGTGATGTAAACATAATAGTTTCCGGCATATTTCAGGGTTAATATGTGACACTTGTACAAGAGGCTGTAAATGAGACACAAAGTCCAAAATAACACTTTTCTGATGGAGAGATTTGCACCGCTGTTTAAGGAAGAGTAACAATGTGACAAAGGACATTCCTGAGCTTATAAAAGTCTGTCCTGGACATGATCCACTTCAATACTACAGCTACACACAATAACTGAAGGATGTCTGGACCCTCCACCAATATCCTCAGTCTGCACAGTCCAGAGGGTGATGAAGCCGGTCTGGTTTAGGTTTGGGGCCACTCACGTGATCTCAGAATTCTCTGTCTCTGAAAAGAGTATGTTCAGTCCAGTGTAATCACCATAGTTACAAACTCCCCAAGACAACTCTGCTATGGACCTAAGTTGGACCTGGTTCAGACTAGGAGTGTGACGATATTTCGATATAACGATATATCGGGACACTTTCTCCCTTAATTGATTATCAATGTGCATTTACCAAGTATCGATTTTGAAAAAAATGATAATAAAAATAATAAATAAATAAATAATAGTATCAATACTCAATATATGACTACATTACGCATCTCCATTCCATTTATCATGAAACAAAGTGTATTTTTCTTCACTTTTATTAATTCCATAAATTGGCATATGGTATATTTCTGACCAATATATCGTGATATAATCGTTATCGTGAGCTTTGTATTGCGTATCGTATTGTATTATGAGGTACCCTGAGGCTCCCACCCCTAGTTCACACCACAGGACCAGGGTTAGGTCTTTTTCAGACCCCAGGTCCTTTACTCTAACCTTCATTCAAAATAATCTACTGAATCATCAAAAAAAATGCAATAGACCTACATTAACTAAAATACATCTATACATACAATAAAACTAAAAGAAGCAAGAGTGTTCTTGATATTAGCGTGGATGAACCTGATCCCTCCATGTTAAAGTCAAGGACACGTTCCCTTCTGTCTAAATGCACTCTTCTCAAACTCATTACACTACAATGAAACCTTATACCTTATATTACATTTGGCTCCAAATAAGTTTGGACAAATTCTCTAATTGTTCTTCTCACCTCTCCTTTATGTTGAAAGAATAAATGTAATATCTCCATCTGGTGGTACAAGTGGGGAATTATATGCTTAGACAATTTCTTTATATCGATCCCTCTATCTGTATTGTTTACTTAGTCATGATTATTCAAAAGAAGTGCATTATATCTTCTTCCTTATACCGTGTATGACAGTTGTTTTCTCTGTTTTAGCCGCAGAACGGGTCACTACTCAGTGCAGCAAAACCACAGCGACCGGCATGAGCAGAGTCAACACCCACAATGCACCGTTGCCACAGAGCTGCCTTCGTGCAAACCTGAGCCATCCTCGTTACATCTTCCCAAATTGTCCAGCCCCAGACTACAACACCCACAATGCAACGGGCCTGAGCAGAGCGGACTACAGCACCACCAACAATGCACCAGGGTAGCTCACTCCAGCCCTAACTCCAGACTCAGACGGCGGCCGGCCTGTCTGCGCTCCAACTCACAGGTGAAGTCTCCATTATCATCTATAATTGCAGCCACATCTAAGACCAAGCTAGCAATCAGTGGATTTCTGTTCATCAGAGAAAAAAAAATTGCCTTTAAAGTGGGGTTGCCCAAGGACACAACCGTAGCCGACATCAGTGTGAGCAGATGGAAGTAAATAGTCTCTTTATGTTGATAAAGGGACAAACATAAGTCATACAACGTCTTCTTTAACAAAGGTTGATTATTGTGCTGCAGGACTCTCTGGATGAACTGGAGATGGATGATTACTGGAAGGAGGTGGAGCACATCAGCCGCTCAGCAGAAGGAGAGAGGAGGGCGGAGGGGGACGTGGTGCAAGAGGAGGAGACCAGCAAGACACCGGAGGGTACGAGGCGAATGAGGTGTTCAAATACTTGTCACGTTGGTCATGTTTACCACTACGACAAAGATTTCAGTGTTGGACTTTTCTTTAATGACCACAACAAAGTAAGAGGCAACTGCAAAGCGAAAGCAAAACATAAATTTGAAAGAAATATAGTATATAAATAGTTTAGAGTCATTGTCCTGCGTGGAAAAAGTAAACCTCTCGCCCCCAGCCTCAAGTGTTTTCTTATATCTTGCGTTTATTTCTCTTATTTATGATTTCGGGCGAACTGCGATTTCACATAGTTGTCTGTTACTTTGTTGTGATCATTCATTAAAAAAGGAAAACATGATCATAAATAAATGTTTTATGTTTGTGGTCAAGAAGTACTAACCCTTTAATGTTCTCTTTTTGAAGAAAGTGATGCAATTTTTTGGGGGGATTTTCAAACATGTGGTAGCGTTAATAATAATATTTAATTTGTATATATTAGTTAGTTTTTTTTTTTCATTGAAGGCTTCTAAAGAAATGATTGAGTTGTAGCTTTATGGTAAAAATGCCTAAAATCAAGTGATAGAGATTCCCCAATGAGGTAACTCAAAAAGTGATCCACAAGTGGTTGAGGAAACCATTACAGGGCCACTATATAATGTGGGCCAGATTTTTGCGGCTTCACTTCTTCGATAAATGTTCTGCAGAGTACATCATCTGTTTCAATGTATTTCTGGGTCAAAATCTCTACAAAATACTACACTACACATATCCTTGCACATGGCAGTCCAGATCTGCTTTCCCAAACATGACTTTGAGTTAAAAAATAAAACATATACTTTCATTTTCATTCAAACTCCCCCCTTCTCATTCAGACTGAAGAGTTTATCCCTACTTGAAAATGTGGTGTTAAAAGAAATAATAGTAACTCATTTGTAACAGATTATCTTTGGATCCACTGAAAAAAATGAAAATAAAATCTCTCCTGTTTCAGAGGGAGAGCAGGAGGAGGCGTGGCTTGTAGAGGCTGGACTTGCTCGATTGTTTGACGACTCGGACCCCAATGACCAAGAGCAGGTGCCAATCCAATCCCCTGTTCATCTATGTTGTCAAATACACAGATCCATCATGGCTGTTTCTAATATATTGTTCTTTAGTGCTGCCCTATTTGTCTTACTGTGCAGAGATTTACAGCAATACAGAAATTACAACAAAAGGGTATTAGAATAGTGTGTAAAGTAGGGTATTTTGCACCTACCAAAAATATATTTAAATAAACAAAAACCTTAAAACTTTTTGACATTGTAAAAGTTTAAATGTTAGAGATTATTTATAGAGTAATAAACAACAAAATCCCAAAGTTTATCTCGTGCTTCTTCAAACTATGAAAAAAACGTTATAATCTCAAAGGTGTATTTATTTTTGAATATACTAACGCAAGAACTAAAGTGAAATCAAGTTGTGTTTCTGTTCTCAGAGTGAAATTATGGAATGAATTAACAGAAGATTTGAAAAAATGTACTTCTTTGTTACAATTTAAAAGTTTCAAATATTTAAAGACTATGAAAAGTGATATCTTCTGTTAAAGATGATATAAATATAAATCTTAAAATCTGGTTAATCTGATGGTGTAGAATAGAATAAGGATTGCCTCTGCCTATTCCTTTTTGGTCGCATTTTATTATATTATATGGTTGAACTGTAATTTCAAAATAAAATCAATCAATCAAACAATGGCCAGTGAGTTGTACTATAAGGTGCCCTCCCTCTCGCCCCCTGCAGGATGAAGACAGTTCTGCATTCCTCTCCACGCTCACACGTTCTCAGGCTGCTGCCATCGAGCGCCGCCTCACGTCTCTGCAGCAAACTCTGAGGAGGAAGAACCGGCAGCATGTTCCTGACGTTAGGGACATATTCAGGCCCCCGGAGGAACAACAGGTCAGAGCAAATCTGTAGGAGCAAACACAGTGACTAATTATACATAGATTAATATTAGGAGACAAACAGCTCCATCGACCCTCGCAGACGTGTTGCTAAGATGGTTGCTAAGGCAAGCTGGAGTTTACCCTGAGAATGAAGTAATCTGGTTGGTCTGGAGTGGCAGTTGGTTCGGTGGTACCACTTCCAGGTCAACAACGTATGGGAAGTGAATGAAAATGATACCAAGTGTAAAGTTCTTTGTGTGATCCGGGTCTGTCAAATGCACTGTTTACAACTCTGGGAACGGCCATGTTGGTTCTTAGTACCTTATTAAAAAAAATTCTGATGCATGTTGTTCGATTGTGATTTTAATTATAGTGAATTTACACCCATATGTTAGAAATGCACACTTTGTTTGTTGTTGACATGTCTGCAGCCACTTCCTGTTATTATTATTATTTTTTTATTGTTCCTTAGCTTTCCAATCAAGCTCATGAAATTGGGGTTACAATGTTCTTCATCAAAAACAGACATGCAGTTGTTTCTAGCTCCATCCACACTAATATCTTCTGACACAAACACATGCATACAATGTTACTTCTCTAAACTGTATTAACTGGAGTTTTCCATTATACTGTGTCAGCAAAGCACTCCCCCAACACGAGGCACTCATTGACGGCATCAGGCTGTTTTATTAAAAGTACTGAAGGGGATCTGAATGTTTGGACACGCTCTAAAAAGGGCAAGAAAACAACTTGAAAACCAGTCAATAATGAAGAATTCAGAAGCAAAAGATTAAATAAAGTCTTTGTCTTCAGTAAAGACAGTTTACATTGTTCATTATAATTGAAAGGTGGATGTTTGTGTTTTCAGGTGCCGGTAAAGACGAGTGAAGTGAACGGAAGCAGCGATAAAGACGTCTCCTCTCCCTCCGGTATGAAACAAGCACACCAACATCCTCCAAAATAGTTTTTCTCTCTTATTCCAACATTCTAATTCATTAAAATAGGTCTGCACAAAATTGTCCCCTCCACATCACAGAACAAGTATTGAATCAGTCAATTTGTTCTAGTTTTCTTTTTGTCATTTACGTTCTCAAATCTGTTTTAGCGTATTTCATGCACATTCATATAGTTTGTGTTCTCTTACGCATAAGAAGCTACTTAAATATGTCTTTTGTGTAAAAGGACTCTCGATCAGTAATTATATCATAAACCTGTCCAAGGACAAGGGGTGGAGCACATTGTATATTTTCTTTTTATAAGACTAATATGTATTGTGCATTGTTGTGATTAAATAGATGAATCAAAATAGTGAGAAGTCGTTGCTGCTCCCGCACCTCTGATCATGGTCCCACAGCTTTGACTTTCCAAATGTATTTTTTGATTCTGTGTTACGTGGATTATTTGCCCAGCATGCACAATCATTTTTGCTCGATAGAAAACAAAAATATGTAAGACAGAAGTGCGTGATGGCTCATTTGAATACAGAGTACCTTTCACATTTTCTGTTTATATCAAATTGTTTGTTGAAGCCTATTGTTCACAGAAAGCAATGCACAAACTAGAACAGCCGGCCCTGAATACATACTGTATACATGTACAGGCCTGAACAATGGGACTACCCTGGAACAAAATGTTAAATCCAAAATATAAACATTTAAAGCCATTTAAACAAACAGAGACAAGCGGCCGGAAGGAACCAGAACTTCCTCCTGAAAAATGCATCACTTCTGCTCGTCTTCAACAGAGATGATTGTTTAAGCCCTCATGGTTGTAATAGGGCCATGTTTAGTCATTTTGTTAAATAAAGATGGTTTTCGGGCTTTCTCCTTACAATAAAACATATTATTATATGATAACATGATCTTCTTATGTTATGCAAACTCACACGGCTGCTCTTTCTCCGGACTTCGAGTCTGATCCTCACTTTCTCCTATAATGGGTTAGACACAGGGCGAAGACGCTGCGTCTCCATTTCCAAATGGAATGTGTGCAATAACGTGAAAAGCGCTTGTCTGTTTTGTGGTGTTGTCGGATGAAAGTAGTGCACATGAAAACATATCAGAGGTTGAATTTCATTGCTCTCTGTGTGTGAAGTTCGTAAGCTCTCCAGTTAGATGCTCAGAGTTTTATATGAACCTAACTTGCTCCGCTCTGTAATGATTAGATCAAAATGCAATTCAATATTTGACCAAAATTGAGCTCTGGATTCAAGTCTCAAATATGACTAAAGACGTTGCTTTTGGGCTGAGCAAACATGGCCTTACATGGACTGAACGTACTGCATTAAAGTGAAAACATTTTACTGAGCACTTGTTTCTAAGAGATGTCTCTAAACTTTCCGAAAGCTCTTCTGATCCCACATAACTGAACACAGAGGAATGATCAGAATAAACAGCACAATGCCTGTGTGTGAACCCAAGTGCATTTGTACTTTTAACCCCTTAAAGAATCAATGTGTTGGTGCCGGAACATCTGTATTTTAGCTATTATTATTATTCTGGGATGAACCAGGACCAGAACTATTTCACATGTACATCCTCTCAGAGCGATTTATTACAGACACCTTAAGATTTTCAGGTAAATGTTCCTCAGCTGTGAAAACTCTCAACTGGAACCCCCCCTAATAATTCTCTAATGTAGCCTGGACCCGCCAACAGATTTGCCTATTTTGAAATATTGGAAATATAACATGAAACAAAGACTGCATAGCACCACTTAAACTTCCCAAAGTGGTGTCAGTTTCCAAGTTTAAATGCATAAAAGTGGTAATTTGAGAGGCCATGTATGGAGACAATGGACAAGAAGTAACTGGTATATTTCATCATGCAGTGGTTTTTAATTAATCAGAATCAGAATCTTTTTATTGCCATGTGAGTAACAGGAAGTCACAAACGAGGAAATTGCTTTGGCTCTCGGTGCAAACTACTTAAAGCAGAATAAAATTAAAGGCATGCATAAATAAAAATCAACATACATTTCTACAGTTTACTATATTCAAGTGTAGCCTGACTCTCGCCAGACCCTTGTAGTTCCGCCATGCTCCACCAGAGGCGTCTGGCTGAACAGCGAACTATATGGGTCTGGGGAGAGTCAGGCTAATACAAGTGCACTATGCGCACACGATAGACCCTTAATAGTTCGGTAGAGTGCAGTAAAGTGACAGTAGCATGGAAAAGCACAGTTCTTAATGATTTACGTTACAATAAATACCTCAGTTGTTAGTAAACATGGGACACATGGTTTTCTATGCACATAAAGAACACACCACTCTCAGTTTTATGGTTTTATTGGGCAGTTCCTCTATGATTTGTGGGTCTACTTTGCAAGCTTTAAACGATGGACTGTCTGGTCTGAGGGGAGAGGGGAGATGCAGAGTGCTCACAGAGCTGAACACTTCTTCAGTGCAGTCAGAGGATGTGAAGTCTGTGATCCAGGGGTTTTGACTGATACTCATGACCCCCGATAACGGCCAAACAAATGAAATGCAAAGACTCTATGTGTTAGTAACGTGTAGTGCTGCACAGCGGGGCCTGGGACTGTCAGGGTGGACTGATTTTACTTTTGTATTTTAAAAACTCGTTGCAACCTATTGCACTCATTTGAAATACTGGATTAGAGCCAAACCCCAGACTCCAACTGAAGTCTGGGCATCTCTGGTCAGGGATAGATCTGATGTGAAGAAGTTCCCTTTTGTGCCACTGTTGTATAGTGATAAAGGAGGATTCCTGTGTGGATCTTTCAGAGTTGGACACGGAGCTGAACGTGGAAGTGGCCTTTTCTGAACAGGCTCTGAACTACAGAGAAAACCATCAGGGCCTGAAGAAGAGCAGCAGCATCAGTTCAGACGACAAGCTCCCAGTGAGTCACACAGACCTGCTCCACAGACATATCTCCCCCTTTATCTGGTCAAATTATCACTTTAGTCTAACTAGTGGAATCAACAATGAGAGTTCATTTATAAATATATGCTTCATGCATTTAAACACACACAGTTATGTTTTTAGTTGTATAATATTTAGAGTGGGCGAAGCGACTTGTATTAATAAGTTACATATTACAATATGTATAAATAATAGGGCTGTCAAAATTCTCGCGTTAATTCACGTTAATTACCGTTTTCATTAACGCGTAAAAAAATAATTAACGCATTAACTGCCATTGACGTCAATTGCGTTTCCCGCTATTTTCACGTTCCCAGATGTCTTGTATCAAATATGTAAGGCTTGAGGCGATATTTTATCGAGCCAGCAGATGGCAGCATTGCTCTATGAATGGTTTGAAAACAGCTAGATGCACTTTCTGGTGATTTCAATAAAACTTACCTCTACTCGACTGGGGATTACAGGGGAACGAAACAAGCTAGAAACAAAATCATTTTTGCTGATGAAAGTAGACAGTCCATTCTTTCAGAATCTGGTTTTGGATTTCAGATAGTCATAGTACACAATATTCTGTGGGTTTTGAAAATTCAGTAAAAATCATCAGAAACGGCTGGCAATATGGGAGTACCTGTTCTGAAATAGGCTGGCAGTCAATCGCATGTCCGAATGACCTTGCCTGGCCTGCCAAACGATATGCTTTTTCAAAGACATATAGTCTGGGAACGAGCTTGATCTCAGCGAATTCCCGGTGGGCGTGGTTGACAGACTGCATCAACCAATTAGATGCACACAGGATATGACGCAGCAACTAGCGGCACCCAAGCCGTTTCAGTAAACACAAAACAAGGGATGGCGGCATGTCAGCTAGTGCAAATGTAAACGACTGCTGTCGATTTTGTAACAAAAACTTAAAGATACGAGGAGTTATTAGCAACTCAAAGGTGAAAGGAAGTCCCGCCTCTCGGTGCGTGATTGGACCGATGTGGGTAAAATCGTGAAATGATAGGCTAGGAAGAGGTGTCCAGACGGTTCTTCTTTTGAACAGAAAGGAGGAGTGTCTGGCAGGCCAGGCAACGAATGACCCGCCCATTTATAATAATATCACTCAGAATGCCGCGGACACGTGCGTGTGTGATGGTGACAGCGGTAACGTGGTCATATAATACACACATATATACACGCACAGGGGCCATTCTCTGATGTTGTGTGACACACGGAGGAGACACGCTGAAATGCAACCAAGCTCGCAAAATTAAAGCTGGGGTACCTACATTTTCCCTTTCATTAACAGCTCTTGTTGGTTGTACCCAAAAGTAGAAGGTTGTGAGCAATTACACAATTAAAGTACATTTGGTATGAATAACATGTGTCATTACATTTGAAAAACTCATTTAACTTCAATTGGAGTGGATTTGAAATAGAAGGCTTAAAGTGCGATTAATCGTGAGTTAACTCACCATTACTATGCGATTAATCAACAAAAAAAAAATTAATCGTTTGACAGCCCTAATAAATACATAACATTACTTGCAATCTCACGAAAGTAACTGACTTACATTACTTTACATTACATTACTTTTGTCATCATAAATGCTCCATGTTGACGCTGCATTTGGTTGTTTAAATATGATGAGTATTTGAATAGTAACTATAATCTAATTACACCTATCTTCAACATAATGAGTGAAACTACTCAGTAACTCAAAAGGTATCTGATTATAGTGACTAATTACTGTTTTTATTTATCAGCTAATATCAGCTCTATATTGTCTTCCTTGTCTGCTGACTGTTGTTGTGGTATTGGCCCTAAACAAAAACCATATCAGTCAACCTTTAGTCACACTGGATATTTGTGTTTACCTGTGTTGGATCAGGACAGTTCCAGACAGTAGCACAGAGCAGCCACATCCGTAACAACTAATATATACAGTCTATGGTAGTAACACAATCCGTCATTTATATCTGATTTTAAAACAAACCATTCAGAAGCGATAGAAAAGAGCACATAGCGCACACACTTGACTTCTCCAGGTTTCTTCCTTAGTCATTCACACTCACCGCTGATTTTAGAACAATTCATGCATGACTCCTTTATATTCTGTTTAAAAGATGATTATAGTGTCCTAAACCCGGGGTACCTATTTTTTTGTTCCAGATATAGTCTGTATACCATTGTTGTGATGTTGTGTCCCTTCTTTCATTCTTGCTCTGATGTGTGTAAATGATTCACATGTGCCATTGTTGAGTGCATTTGACTCCTGGTAACCGCTCTGACTTATATATAGCCCTGTTTAAGCAAAGAGGAGGTTCACACAGCACTACAGAGACATCTAGTGGTGGGAAATGTCACCAAAGGTTTTATTCATATACTTGGATGTTTTATTTTGTTTTAGAATTTCAAGTTGCTGCGGGATAAAACAGGACAGACCAGAATTGGAGACCTGTCGTCACTGGATATGAAAAAGGTAATTCTTCAACAGTGTTCCTCTTCAAAAATAGACCTAGAGTTGCGTTTTGCTCCAACAAATTCCATTAAGTCTGTGACTGATGAGGAACAGAGTGGAAACATGGAGAAAAGAGTCTCCTTTTAAACAAAAAAAATCCTTTAAATGTATTTTTTCTCTTATTCCAATGTACATTCTTATACGTACATGTATTTTCAATTTATTATTTCACGTTCTAAAACATGAAATGCCAAATATTCTAAAGATTATGACCAAATTAACACAATTAATGCTGAATATTTGTCCTTGATGTTATAAAAGTGCCTCATAGACATTTTCAGACCCTCACTTCTTCATGAACTTATCAGAACTAAAAAATCATGTCAGATATGATTATTTAGGTTTATTTTGGGTCTTGTTTTTATTTTGAATCTTGTTTATTTTTTTTGTATTGTTTTCTATATATAAATTCTTACTATACTATACTATATAAGTTCTCATTAAAGATATTACAAAATTGAATAAACTACAATATGGACTTTTGCAAACAGCCGATTGGACCTGTTTTCTCTACAGTCGTATTCCACCACCGCGTGTGGAATGAATGAATGAATAATGCTGTGATCTGTGTTTCAATAGTCAGTTCCATAACATAAGATAACAGTGGTTTCTTTGAGGCACAACAAGCAAACGAGGTTATAAGACGGTACATCCACAGGGGCGGGCAGGACTTTGCATTTTGGTCGCCGACACCAGTAGGGAAATGTGTGCTGTGGTCCCAGGGGTCTCTGATGATGGTTCTGTGTTCTCTGGTCCAGGTGCAGCGTCTGGTGCTGGTGGAGATGACAGCTCTGTTCGATACAGCGGGTATCGACATCAAAGCTCAGAAGGCTGTGAAGATCCGGAGCAGAGGTGATGCAGGCATGTCTCTTAATGTTTTAAAGCTGTGGAATCCGTGCTAAAAGTCTGTGAACTATAATTCGCACGGTTATAACGATGCATGAATGTTTGCCTCTTATCGCAAAAGCTGCAAGTGACAAACAGCCAATACACGCTCAGCCCAAAGAAGGGTTTAGCGACTAATTAGGCTCTTCAATACAAGAATAGGAGACATGGGTTTGAGCACTGTGTGATTGATTGAATTAATGTTTGGCTGGTGGAGGAGTAATGTATTGTGGGCGCGCATGTGTGTTTGGGCGCGGTACACAAGATTATGAATGGGCATACACCTGCTGGGGCACCGGGACAGGAGAGAGGTCTGTTTGGTATAGCCATCATTTTTGTTTACCGCTATTATAGTTTTTTTGATTTATTTTTGCAATTTTTCTGGCTTAAGTTTATTCAATCATTTTTTTCCTGTATATTCACCACGCATTTATGACCGCAGCGTTTACTATTAATTAAATTGCGTTGCAACTGGATCCAGCCTCTACGTTTATTTGTCTGAACTAATTTAGCGAACACTTTTATCGGACCCATCTCGCCTCTCCGCGGCTTTGGGCAACAGGTAGCCGATATAACAAGTATGCCTCATCACAGTCAGTGGAGGGAAAAGCGTCCATCTATTTTTTCCACTGCTCCTCCAGCTCATTCCAGTCAAAGCTGAGGCATTTTGAGGCCAGCTAAGAGTCCCTTTAGTGCAGGGGTGGCCAACCCGCGGCTCGTGAGCCGCATGCGGCTCTTTGGCTGGTTCCGTGCGGCTCTCGGGCTTTCACTCGACAAGCGTCAAAAACGCCTCGGTGGTGGCGCTGCCATTCATTCCATATGTAGTTCTGACCAATAGTAAAGGCCGACTTCACTCCACTAGCCAGGCCACCAAAACAATCTGACGTCGGCGAACGTCAATTCTGGTTGGTCAGATGCGCTGTCAATCACTCTGCAGCTGCTACCTCAGCTGTAGCAAATATCATAACAAACAACACGTTGCCTCGAACCATGACGTCCGTACGGAAAACAATTCCTTGGTCGCTGGATGAGGGCAACACCTTCCTCAGTTTGAGGAGAGGACACCAGCGTGAGCTCGATGGTTCCACCAGAAACCAGAAGGTGTTTGTGGAGCTAGCACTAAGGACGGAGCAGAATGATTCCCACAAACATGACAATGCAGAGAAAAGTTAAAAAGCTTAAAAGTGACAACCGTGAAATGAAAGATTACAGCAGCAGAAGTAGAGGCAGACCCGAAAAGTCTGGAGGTGGTTTGACCAAATGGATTAAATTTACGGACATCGGCTAACACCGGCTAACATGCTAAAACCAGCTAACACCAGCTAGCATTACACCAGGAGATAAGCCAACTCTGCCTGGTGAGTGTCTGTCTTCAATCAAATGCGAAACTATCTGGTCTTATACTGAGCATGTGTCTGTGGTTCTAAATCAGCTAAAGTGGTGTTGGTGTTATGTGTCAAATCTATATCTTTTACTAAAGACAGTTGTGTTTCTGCTGAACACTGGGTTGAAACTTGATTTTTTTTTCTTGGTTAGAGATTGAAAGCATTCATTTCGGAATCATAATTGATGTTCGCTGACGTGAAATTGTTCTGGTATCGACTCGCCCGGTTAGAACCAGGGCCAAACCATTAATAAAAAGTACCGGGGAGAGGCTGAAGCGAGCGGTAGAAGCGCCCGCAAACCGGGGAGAGTTCAGTCCAGCCCTTTAGTGCTGTACGAGTCAATTTCTGTCATTATCATGTTGATGACATTTACAATAAATCTGTCTGAGCAGAGCACACCTCTCTCTGCTCAGACAGATTGCATGTGTGTGCGCGTGTCTGCTCGTGTGCGTACGTGCCCGTGTGCGTGCGTGTGTAAGGGTTGGGGTGATGTTTATGTAGTGCACATTTGTATGATGTGGCTCTTTGCTGTAACACAGTAAAAAAAATTGGCTCTTAGTCTCTGACTGGTTGGCCACCCCTGCTTTAGTGTGTCCTGGATATTCCTCAGGGCCTCCTCTCTTTGGGACATGCCCAAAACTCCCCAGGGAGTTGTCCCAAACAGATACCCCCTCTCTACACATTATCTGTGATCTTGTCCATAGGTTAAGGTGGGAACGTTGAAAATCCAGAGCGATAAAACTAGAGCTTTGCTTTTTGGGGAAACCAGAACTTACCAGTTATAGTGAAGAGTAAAATTACATGTTATTTAGCTAGATGGGAACCAATGAGCACAAGGGTTTTGACACGATTTCTGACTTTTTCGTTATATTTTGTAAATGCAGAAAGTGGCCTGTTTGGAATTCCTCTAACCAACCTCCTGGATCAGGACCAGAAGAGGATCCCAGGAACCAAAGTGCCAATCATTCTGCAGAGAGTAAGGACTGAACACATCAGTATACAGTCAGGCAATATGTTAAACCAACAATTAGTTGGTGACCTGTGTTCCAAGCAGAGTTCTAAATTTGCATTTCTAGATTAATTTGCAAAACTCACAGATGTCTTGTTTGATTTCTTTTACTGGAGTAGTATGAATAGCAATCAAATTACAATCCATCACTTGGTCCCCCACGGGTCGGTATTAAGACCTAAATATTTTACTGTAGTCTCATTCCCACTGAACAAACACGGTCTGTTTGTTTGTTCAGTGTTTGAAATGAAGGGGCGGGGGGATGAGTGAGTGTAGGATGTTCTTCATATTGGCGTGGATCCGTTGCCGTGTTTTTTTGTTGAGGAACAATGGGGAAAAAACTGAATGCATTATTTCTCGTCATTAGCTCATCAGTCACATCGAGGAGGAGGGTCTGGACACAGAGGGACTGCTGAGGATCCCAGGGGCTGCCACCAGGGTCAAGGTGAGTCCTGGTTCATCCCTGCCTCAGTCCTGCTTCAGTCCTTCTTCAGTCGTGCTTCAGCTCTGGTTTTCGCCTCTCTTCAGGCCCTCTGTCTGGAGCTGGAGGCCTCTTTCTACGATGGCCTGTTTGGCTGGTCTGAGGTGAAGCAGCACGACGCAGCCAGTCTGTTAAAGCGGTGGATCCGAGAACTCCCTCATCCTCTGCTGAGCGTCGAGCTCCTCAACGCTTTCATCGCTGTCAACAGTGAGTCCCACTGCACTCACACAATCAAGCACGATACATCAGGCATTATTAGCTCTTTTAAACATTATATTGAGAATTTTTCATTGGGCATTTGAGGTTTTAGAATCAATTTGTTTACTTTAATCTGGTTTACCTAATTTCTAAACCACAAAACTATGTAACTATGCACTACAGTCCATGTCATTCATTAATCAACAAATGACAAAATTTGGCTTTTTTATTTTGTTCATTTTTTTTTTTTTACCTTACCTATTTAGATCAGCCTTTTCTAGACCACCCTCTCAGCCCAAAGCATCAAATAAAGACTCTTTCTGTTGTGAAAAGTAAAACAAAAAAATCAAATTTAACGACAAACATGTTTACAAGTCATCTTCATGAACATATTTGCAAAAGACATTTCCTTTTTTTTCCAAATAAAATAAAAAATCCACATTATTCTAAGTAGGGAATTATTATATTATGCTTTCATTATCATTCTAGGCACACAGGTGTAAAGAACGACATTTAAAAACTGCTACTGTCAGACTGTACAATGAGATTTGCTGAGCCTATACATGTCATTCATCTGTAAATAGTAAATGGGTGCTCCCTGTGTGCTCTTACTACTGTCCAGAATGTGCGCTGCAACACTGAATTTTCCCCACTGTGGTGACGAATAAACGTTCTCTTATCTCTTCATGGGGCCGTGGTGTGAGGATGGTGTTTTATGTGTTTTTTTTTCCAGAGTTGCCCACGAAAAAGCAGCAGCTGCAGGCGCTGAACCTCCTGGTGCTGCTGCTGCCGGAGCCCAACCGAGACACACTCAAGGTCACACACAACACAAACAAATACACATGTGCAGGACAACAACACTACGTAGAAAAGAAATGCAACATTAATCTGTACATGAATGAGTGACATGACCTTGAACCTTTAATAAATACTGGAGAGGGTATTTCTAGCTTATATAGCTGAAGCACCCGTAGGCTTCCCGCGGTACTGCAGACTAAATAAGACTAAATTCACGAGGGCTACCCAGAAATTATCCCCATAGAACTCAATGTAAACTAAAACAGCTCGACCTCAGCTGACAGAGAACCTACAACAGCTTTCATTAAGTTTGTGTCCCTTGTCATTCTAAACTCTTCCCGCTCTAGCTCCACTCTGATCAGCAGCGCCTGATTGGTCAGAACGCTGTCCCTCTGTGCACATGCATGAGAGCCGCTAACACATTCTAGTTAGTATTTGGCACACAGCATCGTGGCTTCATGCACCATTTTTGATCGCCAGGGCTTGGCCATGACCCATTGGCGGGGATAGAGTGAATGAGGGGGGCTTCCATCTGCTAGCAACCATTGTTAGAGCTACTGTCCCATTTTACGACCAGGGTGGATTTCTTACCACTCATTAAGGACAAGAATCTGCACTGATTTGTAAGGCAAGGCAAGTTTATTTATATAGCACAATTCATACACATGGCAATTCAAAGTGCTGAACAAAATAAGAAAGCATTAAAATCATAAATAATCACAGAACATTAAAAAGAAAGATAAAAATATAAAATTCCTCAGTTGTATGCACAGCTAAACAGAACTGTTTTTAACCTGGTTTTAAACATTGTCAGCGAGGAGGCCTGTCTCACATCTTCAGGAAGATTGTTCCAGATTTTAGCAGCATGAATCTGAAAAGCTGCCTCCCCATGTTTAGTTCTGACTCTGGGCACTAACAGGAGTCCAGTCCCTGTGCTCCTCAGAGTCCGGGCTGGTTCATATGGGACTAACATGTCACTAATATATTTTGGTGTGAGGCCATGGAGAGACTTGTACACAAGCAGAGCTGTTTTAAAGTCTATTCTCTGAGCCACAGGAAGCCAGTGCAGAGACCTGAGAACTGGACTAATGTGGTCGTACTTCCTAGTTCTAGTCAGGACTTGTAGGGCACTGAGCTGCAGATCAGTGGATTAGGGTTGAAATTTAAATGTGCAGAATATTTGCAATGATTGGTGTGTGAACAAATGAAACCTGCTGCTGTTTTCATGTCAGAGGGTATAGTTACTCATTAAAGGAACCACTAACCAAGTCCTCTCTACATCTAACATTTTGAAAAGCTAAACACACAGACTGTATTCTTATGGGCCATTTCTATTGAAGAGTGCAAACTTTTCATTAGGACATCAATATCCCAAGTTCAAGATTAATTCTCTTGAGCACAAACAATTAAAACTTTCTTGTGATTTCCACAGGCTCTGGTGGAGTTTTTCCGTCGAGTCATTGAGCGTCAGACACACAACCGCATGACCCTAAACAACGTGTCGGTCGTCATGGCGCCAAACCTCTTCATGTACAAGGGCCACCGTGTGAAGGCCACGCAGCAGCAGGAGGTCTCCATGGCAACAGGCACCGCCAACATTGTGCGACTGCTCATCCGGTACCAGGAGCTGCTCTGGACGGTGAGATGATCGTTTTATTTTAAATGTGCAAGTTGGAACTTCTGTCTTTTAGGGCTGTAAGATTCAGCAACATTGCCATTTTAGTGTTATATTTTTCTTTTGCAATGTATTCCTAATACAGAAAATATCGTTTTACTACGTAAGCTTGTAATCTTTATTCATATAGTGCCTTTCAACACTGCTTTACTTCCAGGAACATTTAAACTTTTTTCACATTTTATTCACAAACTGTGGCATCATTCCACCTGAAGAAGGCATAATTAGAAAACATTTCATGAAAGTGTCATATGCTCTTTTAATGTAGCTCTGCTTTTCCCTCTTTCTATGTCAGATCCCAAAGTTCATCGTGACGCAGGTGCGACAGCAGAACATGGAGAGTCAGAGGAAACAGAACAAAGAGCGAGCCGTGAGGAAACTGCTCAAGAAAATCACTACAGACAAACAGCCGGAGAAGAGCGCCCCAGAGGTGAGAGAGGGAACTGCAACACTGCACTCTCTTTAAGCTGCAGTTGTTTTTAGCTCAATCAACTATAATAGCAGAGACTTCTGGCACAAAAACGTTCCCCTGTCCTATCTAAATGCTCAAACTCACGTTCAAACCTGTGTTTCTTAGAAATCCTTTATCTTTGACTTATTTGGCTGAGGGTGCAACAGGAGGACAGTTTTGTGCAGAGAATGGAGAAGTGAAAGAGGAGAGACTGGTCATCAGAAGGCAGCTGGAGGCACAGACAATAAGTGATAGGTCAACACCAGAACTCCCAGAGCCGTCATTTTGACTGCTCTCATTCAAACCATAGCTTTTCAGCAGTTTTTATTAAAAGTAGGTAATGTATAAGGTTTCTTTTACCTATACTCACTTTTAATACTTCCTAGAACTGGTGAATATCACTTGAAATAGATCCAAAAAATTGTTTGTTGAAAGACTACCGAATGCTCTACCGAAAAACAGTCTGTTGCCATGGAAACATGTCCTTCTCTGGTGGAGAATAACTTTTCTAGGTGGTAAAGTTATAATTCCTCACAGTTCAAAATAAAAGAGGATTTCATAAAAACAATGACATAGAAAGAAACTATATATTGATACAGAAAAAGCCACAAAAAGGTACAAATGTTGAGTAATTACAGTTCCAAAACTAAAACCCGTCACATTGACTGCCTTGGGAGTTCTAATGTTAAGGAAATTGGCTCCTGAGGACGTAGTCGACACAATGCACAAGATCTGTCGCCAACAACACATTTCCTCCAAATTAGTTTTCAGGATTATTTAGATTTCAAGTTCCATTGTCCCACACTCGCACTCACAAATACTCACTCATTCACCCTGAATCATAAATGTTTTAGTGGTAGGGGAAACCGAAGCACCCGGAGGAAACCTACGCAGCCACGGGGGGGAGAACATGTAAACTCCATGCAGAAAGACCTGGAGGAGGATTCAAACCCAGGACCTTTTTGCTTTCATCCACAAGTGCTACCCTTTGAACCACCGTGCCGCCCAGTGAGGACATGGCCCTAATATCCATTGGTTTCTCCGTCTCTGTATCCGCAGGACAGTGTTCAGGGCTTCATCCGGGTCCAGGCTCCTCAGTTCAGTAAAGTGTCAATGGCTCTTCAGCTCACGGAGGATCTGCAGGCGGCCGACGTGCTCTCGCGCTTCCTCAGCCAGGACTGGTGGGTTTCCATGCACTTATCTGTTCAGATTCCAAACTGTCCAGGAATCAAGTCTGTGTTGATGTGTTTGCAGTTCAGTGTTGGTGAAAAAGGACGAGCTCTGTCTCTATGAAATTGGAGGAAACATCAGTGAGTATTTTTTACAGTCAAATAGTCTGTATGTATGTTGCAGTCTTTCCCTTCAATCTAAGACTTTGGTTCCTTTTTGTTGGTTGCTTCCTTACCATTCCCGAGCAGCCCTTTTCTGTTTATTTTGTTTAAATACTGCAACAGCACCCGGTCTAGAAAGCGCAACTTCAAAGGACTCTAGCTGCCAGAGACCGATTCTGCAGCTCCAGAGTGTATCTACTGTAGGAATGGACAGTGCTAACGTGCTAACTCTATGAAGCGATGTGTGTCCAGGCTCGTGTCAGCTAACGCATGTGCAAAAGTGTTTTTTCATTGTTTTGCCGTGGGAGGAGCTGCTCGCGGCCATTTTGAGAGTGTGGCAGAAGGGAAAATTGATTGCACATAAGTTTTAACGGCAGAGATAGGATTCACTATGTCCGCAAATATTTACAGTTAATGGGCCTAATATGCGCGGCCTAAGTAGAATCCAAACTGGGTTACCCTGCTGTAACTGGGTTATCCTGCTGTAACTGGGTTATCCTGCTGTAACTGGGTTATCCTGCTGTAACTGGGTTATCCTGCTGTAACTGGGTAATCCTGCTGTAACTGGTTTATCCTGCTGTAACTGGGTTATCCTGCTGTAACTGGGTTATCCTGCTGTAACTGGGTAATCCTGCTGTAACTGGTTTATCCTGCTGTAACTGGGTAATCCTGCTGTAACTGGTTTATCCTGCTGTAACTGGGTAATCCTGCTGTAACGGGGTATCCTGCTGTTCCTCTGACCCATGTTCCTTGTGTCCTCCAGAGGAGCGCTGTCTGGATGGGGAGACCTACATGAAGGACCTGTTCCAGCTGAACCCTGCGGCAGAGTGGGTGATCCGCGTGGTCCAGCGATGATCTCTGCTTCACCTACAAATAGACTTTAGTACGAAATGACAGCACACTGAACCAGAATAAGTTAATGACTGCGTGAGGCAACAGAGTTCTTGGTTTGAGGCCATTTTACCAATTGCACATATATCACAAGCAAATTCTCTCTTGAAATGAGACTTGAAATAACTGTCGGTAATTGTTTTTCATAGATGGTTAAACATGTTGTTGAAAATTAGATCATTTTTTGCAGCAGAGGGATTCATGCTTTTCTTGGCAGCAGATGAAGCGGAAGAAAATGGATGGACGGATGGACATAGTTTTAACCACTGAAGTCTTGGCACTGGATGTCCATGGCTCATATGGCATTCATGCTATTTTCAAAGGGGACACATTGTGCATAAATGCTATTCCTAGCTGCCTTTTAATTTTTTTCTTTCCAATTCTACCAGTTGCGATTTATGTGTTTATTTTACCATGCCGTAAAGAACAATTTTGTTTTGACACTCCTATAGCCGACAAAACCACAGTATGTCTTCATTATCGCACTCAAAGGGAATCGCTCTCAAAAGGGAATTGGCAGTGGATGTCAAAGGCTCCTTTTCATTTTTTAATTTAGTTAGTTGGATGATTGATTTCCAACCTGCAGAAAATAATTTCACATATCTTCACACTAGTACAAGTTTGAAACGGGGTTGGATGAAGTAGACACTTATTGTTTCACAAAAACAGAATACAATATAATTAATGTCACGCTTCACTCTTCTCATATTACTCATTAGTTTGACAGTTTTTTAAATACTCAGGTAGCAGGTCAGTCACACGTTATTGAGCAGTAAAAATATGATATTTTACAGGTTTAATACCATACAGAGATATCCATTCAAAGCAATAATAAAGTCAGCCAAACATTGAATATTTTGAGCTCTTTCCCAAATGTATTATTTTCATTACTGTCTAAACAAATGGATGAAATTGCACACTTTTTACTCGAAGATCATGTAAAGGTTAATTTTATGACACTTTTTTACACTCCGATTGTGCCTTTAGACATTTGAATACTATTAAAACCACTGTCTTTTCATAATGATTGAACAATGCACTGTGATTCCGTAACTACTAATTCACTTTGATAATGCCGTATTTATTTTATTGACAAAGTGACGTCTTTATAAAGTGCTGCTGAGAGGATTTCAGATGGAAATGTGATTTGTATGGAAGATAACCGTTGAGTCAGATTTTGATTTATAAAGGCTGGAAAATTTCTTGGAAGTTGGAATTTTGCAGTATATATTTTATGTGTGAATGACAGGTCTTTGTTATTTTAATACGTTTGACTTATTTTGCTTGAATGGCAACTTAAGATATAAAAAGGTTTACTCAAGTCAGTTTCTGAAGACAATTGGTAAAATATGTATGCAATATATAAAGTGTGTTCTAGAACTGGACTGATGACACTTTCACTCAACTAAATACACAAATAGTGTCATTATTTCATTGGTCAATTAATAGTTTCCAGTATGCACATAAAATGAGTTAGCTCAAGTTTTTTTTATGTTTTAGGTTGGTGTTAACAATCCTAATCAGTGTGAAGTATAAATAAATAAATGATAAATTCAGAAAATGTTCAAACTGAGATACAACGTGTAAAGTCTTAAGGGTATATAGGAGGATTTTCTACTTCCGGGTGGATCATCAAGACAATTGGTCACTCTAAGTGTCAATCATTCTGGTGATACGTGCTCGTCAAAGAAGAGCAGAGAGTTTTTTTTTGTTTTTTAAGTGGAGTGTGCGGTTCTTTCCTAAAATTTGGGAAAATACTCCTTTATACCTTTAAATGTAATTAAGTCAAGTTTAACCAGTCATTTGTACATTTCCGAAGATTAAATTAATCTTTTTTCTCCTTGTAATTTCTAAAATGACTTCAGCAACTTGAATTGAGCATTAAAAAAGAAAATGTGACCCTTTATACATTTTTTCTTGAAACATATGGAGTGTGGAGCGTATACGGCACACAATGACGACTCCATACTGTGTGGATGTCTGAGTGAGCTTTAGCTTTTCATGTCTGAGAACACAATAACGGCGGCCTTCTGTAAGATGAATGACCTCAACTTTTTAAATAGCTTCTGTGTAAAGGACTTTATTCAAGCAAACACAGATGATACTTCTTTTTGTTTGTTTTTCCGTCAGTTTTATTCTGATCTTGAACCCGCTGATGCCTTTTATTCTTAAATCTTTGGGATAATTATGTATTTGTGACGTGATTTTAAATTGTACAAAATGTAAATAAATGTGTGATTGTTTGCAACACATTTGGCTCATATTTTTCTGTGGTTGAGACTAGGGCACACACAGCAGAGAGCAAGCATTAGGGTCGATCTAATTGTGTGCCTACTCCATGCTCTGACAAAAAGAGCGACTGATCCCTAGAAAGTGGGCTTTCTCCTTTTTTTCTTACGGGAGATCCCACATCCCATGGGAGAGAATGACCCTGTGTCAGAATAACAAAACAGAGTGTTTGGGATAAAGTACATGCATTTTAATTCATGTTAAAACACAAAGTACTTATGTACAGCTGTTCTACATTTGTTATTTTTTATGTGATCTGCTCGAAATGAATCAATAAATACATACATAAATAAAGTAGTTATAGTTGTGATTTATAGATTTTCAGCAAGATAAATTGGTGATTGATGAATTTAGAAGTCATGGGGGATTATATTACTAGACTGTTAGTACGCTTGTTGACCGATGTCTCTGGTTCATTAATTCATATTTATTAGACTAATCAGTGTTCAGTGGGCCACAGAGCATCCTGAAGAACTCAGGGAGTCTTAACCAACAAATGAGGAAATCGAGGAAACTTTAAAACATGACATTCAATACATTCAAGGCTCCGGACGAAGGGTGATTGAGCCTTCTCTGTCCGTGCTCCTTGGCTCTGGAACGATCTTCCCCAGGAGATAAGGCTAGCACCGTCAGGATCCTCTTTTAAATCACTTTTTAAAACCCACTTTTATCAAACAGCTTTTAACTTAAGTTTGAAACTTCACTTTGTATTTTACTGTTACCACTTTGTCTATGTTTTGTCTTACTTCTTGTGTTTCCTCTGTCTGCTTTGTCTGTTTTGACTTTGTATTGTATTCTTTTTATTGTTTATTATGCTGACTGCAGCGCTTTGTAAACACTGTTTACAAGTACTATACAAGTAAAGATGTATTATTATTATTATCATTATTATTAATATTATTATAGTTGAAAATCATTTCAGGGGCCACTAAAAACGGTTTCACGGGCCGGATTTGGGCCCCGGACCGGAGTTTGACATATCTGGCGTAAATTGATTATTTTATAATTGATGAAAGTGTTGGGGCTTTATGGGGCCTCACCTTAACATCACTAATGAATGAGTGTGTGATCCTAACTTCTTCCTGTAGTCAACCACCCTCTTAGAAGGAAATGATTTAGGATAGATAAACAATATATATTAATGTTATTGTTGAAATGAGGATTAAATTAATAAGTAAACTCTTGTTTGGTATCTGAAACAATCCCATCAATATTTATTTTAACTATGTAATATAATCTATATAATTTATTTTATTGCTCGTGTTTTATGTGTATATTTATTGAATAAAATTCATTACTGTCCCCACTATCATAGCAAAATGTGTATCTTTACTTTCAGCTTTAAAATAAAACTTCATCCTAGTCAAATCTCTTTCCTATGCTTTGCTGTCGTGGACCAAAACACGAGTGTGGACTTCTTTGATTGGCTCCACGTCTGTTTCCTTGAATTCCATTGGCTCTCTCTTTCCATCCTGTACTGCGATTGGTCCACCGAACCGAACCCCGGAAGTGTCCGACTTGTAGTAAGCGGCTAACAGCTACCTCGCAGATTTTTTATTTCAAGAGAACATTTATTTGCATTTACAAGTTGTTATTATCCGTAGCAACTAGCGTGCCTGTTCCACCATAGTTCCGTCTTAATAAATCATCATATTTTGTTTATATACTCTGCGCTGTTTGCGAGGATATTGACAGTTAGCTTGTTAGCATTTTAGCTTACACCTGCAATTGTTAGACGCAAACAAACAATTCTTTACTACACCCGATTTTTGTTTCTACGTTTGACGACATCATTGATTATATTTGTCATAATCGTCTGCTAAAAATATGCACTTTTGTCAAGCCAAACCTGGGATAAAATAGTTCAACATGCGTTTGTACATGCTATAGCAGAGACTTTGCAGTGACTGAATGTGTAAAAGCAGTCATAACAGCAGATGCAGGTAGCAGACAGTATTTTGTGACAATGGGGCAAAAACGTGGAGTGAAAACGACCAGGACTTTATTTCATGCCGCAATTCTACTTCTACTCGTGGTTGCAGCAGTAACAGCTGGTAAGTGTAAATGCTCTGATCCCCAGTCTGTTAGTTTGATACCTCTCTCAGATGAATGTTCATGTTTTTCAGACTTTACGGACATTAATCAGGATGCAGAGGAGGAACCACAACTAAAGGTTTGTCCACATTTATATGCAGATGTATACACTGTTTGGTGGCATGTGTCCACAGTCGTTAACTTAAGTAGGAAAACTAAGTAATTGTTGGAAGACTGCTCAAAATATGATATTGTAAGATATTTTGTAAATATTGATTTAAAATGGTACATTTTTGAAGCTTCTGAGCTGAAGTTCAGATCTAATGCAGTCATGGTTGCAATGAGCAAAGTCGGTTTATTCAGTGCTATTAAAGTATAGTTTGTAGGTTTAAGACTAACCCTTTAATTCATACACAACTTTGAGACTTGGATGACTCAGAAACATAAGTATTTTATGAAGTAAAATGAAGTAAAATGGTGGTATGCTACATTTGCACCTACAATTGCAGTTTACCTCCACTATGGACAGAGTGAAGCATTTTGGGTGTCATTGCATACATTCCAAGTAATGTTGTTATTATTATTATTATGCCAAATGTGACATGTAAATTCTTTCATTGTGAGATCAATAAAGTTGATCTCATCTTATCAAAAGATTAAGTCTAATTTGTATCATTAATGTGTGGTGTTCTAAATCAGAATTTAATTAATGTCAGAAGTCCATAATAAATATTGCTTTGTAAATCCGCTGTATCAGATGCTGTGTTTTCTCCTCTCAGTCTTACACAGAGGGACAGTCAGAGGAGGAGGATCTGCGTGTGAGCTCCTCTGAAGGGACAGTGGAGGCAGAGTCCCCCCCAGAACAGGAGACTCTGAGGGGGGAGGAGAAGGAGGACCTACCCATGCAACCTCCACCTGTCCAAGAGAAGCCCAGAGAGAGTAAGCACTTTGCACTTTTTTTAGAAACATGTTGGAAATATCTTCAAAACAACATCTATAGTATGATCTCTGGATAAATATTATCTGTGTAATAAATAGTGTAATATGCACAGAATAATACCTGAACTCACATTACAGAAAACCAGGCACTAGGATTTTAAAGTTGTTGTGAAAATATGAAGAAATATCCAACTTTAATACAGACTATTATAAGATGCTCTTATACATAATCTCACTGTGGCATACAACAACTGCTTGAGGATTTTATTGAGAACGCCAAAATGGGAAAGTGCAAGCACTCTATGTACGCAACAATAGGGACATTTCAGGCAGCCTTGCCATGTCTAATGTTCTGTTTTATCTCTTTGGCTCAATGAAAATCAGAACATTTCAATTATGATCATAATCCTGACAAACGTCATGTTCCATGCTGAACTCTGGAGACATTGGTACAGCTGTTTTCTCAGAGGAGTGACGCTTATTTTTGGGACTATGTGTTGTTTTGTGTGATGTGTTTGTCTTATTCTGGACCACAAGTCGAGTCTGTAATAAATTTTGATGATAATGATTAAATTCTTCTATTGTTTGTCCGCAGTCCCGGTGGTGAATGGAGGCACCGCTCACGGGGAGTTCTGCCTCTTCCCCTTCTACTTCCAGGGATCAGAGTATTCAGACTGCACCACAGACGGACGAGGAGACGGGCGACTCTGGTGCTCCACAACCTACAACTACGACCAGGACAAGATGTGGGGCTTCTGTGAGAGTGAGAACCTCCAGTTATACTTTAACATTACTTACAAGTATTACCAATAGTTAGATCCTTGTGTTAACATTAATTGCAGTCTGACACAGATTTGATTGGTGTATTTAAAGGTTCCATATTCTGCTCTTCTTCATGTTTCTCATGTGTGATCATAATCATACAACACTCAGTCAAAACATGTGAAACTATAGCCATTTCTTGCATAGAGGGGATGTCACCTTTATTGAAACAAGTGGATATCTGCTGCTCAACCTGTGAGATGGCACAGAGCACTTTAATAATGTTGAAAGCATAGAAAAGTCGAAAAGCGTGATATGGGACCTTTTTAAGAGATGATTATTTTATACTAACATTTTTCTCCTCAGAATGAGCCCTTTAACGGGAAAGTTAAAAGTTGTTGTCATGGTTTCAGCGGAGGAGCAGGTGCAGCAGCGACTAGAGGCGGAGGAGTCGGAGGAGCAGTATCAAACCGTGGTCCGGATGCTGAACGCCACGAGCCGCAAGTCCCAAAAGAGAGAGTCAGTGCACTACTTTATCTGCTCACACCATAGTATCTGTTAGGGCTGTTTATGCTTAACCTGGCAAGAGCCAGATTGATGATTGTGTAGAACTCTAACGCGTTCTCCGCGTTAGAGTTCTCCCGGAGAATCCTTTCGGGGAAAGGAGGGGTAAGCAGCAGAATACTTGAAGCTGATTGGGCGAAGTGACGCTGTGTGCCCGCCTACCAAGGTTGCCGTCCAGAAATGTACAAAGCGCCTCTCACTGTTCATCTTTCAAAAAAGAAATTGGAGATTCTGCTAAAACTGACTTTGCGTCCGTCCTCCTGCGTAGCCATGTTTGTTTTGCTTCGGCCCGGCACTTCTTGCTTTCGTCAAACCCGGATATCCCACCCTAAACCCCCAGACTGGCGCGTGACTCACACAATCAAAGTAAACATTATTAAACCCAGCAGCGTAAAAAGGATTGAATAGCTGTAAAAACAATAGTAGTAGTATCGATTGAGAGAAAAAATAAACTGCAGGTTTTTTATGAGGAACATATGCTTAAAAACTCAAAAAGTGTATTCTCAATAATGTGTCTCCTTTAATTGTGTTTCCAGGCTGTATGAGCGGCTGGTGGAGCTGGCGGAGAAGGGCCATCACAAAGCCATGGAGAAGGTGGCCTACGCGCTGCTGGTGGGAGACTTCATGAACCAGAACGTGTCCAAGGCCAAAGAGATGTTTGAGACGCTGGCCGTGGAGGGCTCCCCCAAAGCTCAGACGGTAGCTCACATGGATCTGTCACATGATTAGAACAGGCTCCAGATTTACATGTTTCTCATGAAGCCTCTTCATTAATTGGGTGTGTTGAATCATGATCATGCTGATAGAAATAAATAAGAAAAAATCCCACTTCTTTGAAAAGTTGTAGTACGTGTTTGTTTTAAAAAATGTACACAATTATTATTATATCATTATTTTGTCTTTTCACATTTTCACTTTTAACATTCCCTAAATCAGGCATGTCAAACTTCTATTAATATTAACTTGCAACCTTGATGGTAATGAGCTACCAAGGCAAGTTATACATCATCCATTTTCTCAGGAAAACCAAAATTGTATTTATTCTAACATTTTAACCCAACACATCATAAGAAGTTAAATCGTTAAATAAAATAATGTGTTTAACTTAATATTTTATCCAATTTCGAAAATCTAATTACAATAAACACATTTTGTTTTCAGATTGAAGTCAGGTCAAAATACCTTTTTATAATGTAAAAAACAATCATAAGAAAAGGAAATCGCAACTATTCTTTCAGCCCCCAACCAGTTCCTAATTTTTTTTATTCGGCCTCTGACCAAAATGAGTTTGACACTTCTGCTCTAAATGGTATGATAGTCTTCATCATGTCTGTAGTGACTGGACTAAAGCTGGGACACCCTGACCACCTTATCTTCCCCAGGCGCTGGGATTCCTTTACGCGGCTGGACTGGGAGTGAACTCGAGCCAGGCCAAAGCTCTGGTCTACTACACGTTCGGAGCGCTCGGGGGAAACATGGTAGCCCACATGATTCTGGTACGTCTGTGTGTTGGATTTACATGATTATAATTAAGGGTAAGACAAGACTCTGGCTGTGATTCATTTAAGTCAAATCATGATCGTCTCCCCCCAGTTCCACTTTTGAGCCTTAGTGATATTCGAACAGTGATTCATTTACAAAATCTTAATTTGCGACAATCAACGTTAAGTCAAATCATGATGGTCTCCAGTCACTTTGCAATGACCCTTTGCTGTTGTATTTGTTCAAAAAGTAATTGCAGCCTTTGATTTATTACGTCTGACCACTTAATTTGTTGTTTGTTGTTTCTTAATGAATACATTTGGTTTGTTCCAGAAAGTCTTTTAAAAGGTTTTGAACAAATCAGGGCTCTCATGTCTCTGAAATAAAAAACGGGTCTAAGATCCCTGCAGATAGGACATACAGTGCCAGGCTTCAAAAATAAAGATATAAAATTGTAATTTTTTGTCATGAATCAACAACAAGTGGGACACAATCGTGAAGTGGAACAAAATTTATTGGATAATTTAAACTTTTTTAACAAATAAAAAACTGAAAAGTGGGGCGTGCAATATTATTCTTTCAGTGCAGCAAACTCACTCCAGAAGTTCAGTGAGGATCTTTGAATGATCCAATGTTGTCCTAAATGACTGATGATGATAAATAGAATGCACCTGTGTGTAATCAAGTCTCCGTATAAATGCACCTGCTCTTTGATAGTCTCAGGGTTCTGTTTAAAGCGCAGAGAGAACCATGAAGACAAAGGAACACACCAGGCAGGTCCAAGATACTGTTGTGGAAAAGTTTAAAGCCGGATTTGGATACAAAAATATTTCCCAAGCTTTATTTGTCTCAAGGAGCACTGTGCAAGCAATTATATTGAAATGGAAGGAGTATCAGACCACTGCAAATCTACCAAGACCCGGCCGTCCCTCCAAACTTTCATCTCAAACAAGGAGAAGACTGATCAGAGATGCAGCCAAGAGGCCCATGATCATTCTGGATGAACTGCAGATAACTACAGCTGAGGTGGGAGAGTCTGTCCATAGGACAACAATCAGTCGCGCACTGCACAAATCAGGCCTTTATGGAAGAGTGGCAAGAAGAAAGCCATTTCTCAAAGATATCCATAAAAAGTCTCGTTTAAAGTTTGCCACAAGCCACCTGGGAGACACACCAAACATGTGGAAGAAGGTGCTCTGGTCAGATGAAACCAAAATCGAACTTTTTGGCCACAATGCAAAACGATATATTTGGCGTAAAAGCAACACAGCTCATCACCCTGAACACACCATCCCCACTGTCAAACATGGTGGTGGCAGCATCATGGTTTGGGCCTGCTTTTCTTCAGCAGGGACAGGGAAGATGGCTAAAATTGATGGGAAGATGGATGGAGCCAAATACAGGTCCATTCTGGAAGAAAACCTGTTGGAGTCTACAAAAGACCTGAGACTGGGACAGAGATTTATCTTCCAACAGGACAATGATCCAAAACATAAAGCCAAATCTACAATGGAATGGTTCACAAATAGATGTATCCAGGTGTTAGAATGGCCAAGTCAAAGTCCAGACCTGAATCCAATCGAGAATCTGTGGAAAGAGCTGAAGACTGCTGTTCACAAACGCTCTCCATCCAACCTCACTGAGCTCGAGCTGTTTTGCAAGGAAGAATGGGCAAGAATTCCAGTCTCTCGATGTGCAAAACTGATAGACATACCCCAAGCGACTTGCAGCTGTAATTGCAGCAAAACGTGGCGCTACAAAGTATTAGCGCAAGGGGGCCGAATAATATTGCACGCCCCACTTTTCACTTTTTATTTTTTAATAAAGTTTAAATTATCCAATAAATTTTGTTCCACTTCACGATTGTGTCCCACTTGTTGTTGATTCTTGACAAAAAAAAATATTTTTATATCTTTATGTTTGAAGCCTGAAATGTGGCGAAATGTTGAAAGGTTCAAGGGGGGAATACTTTCGCAAGGCACTGTACATAGACAATTTGTGGTGTTTTTTAAAAAAGGATAGTCCCGCCGGCCCTTGATGAAAGCGAAAGATGATTTTTTTTTTTTTTTTGTCTATTTACTTCTAAACATTTTACAGTCATAATTACTTTTCACTGCTGAAGAGTTAGTGACCTAGTTTATGTCCATAAACTGCCTCAAGTCCAGAAATGAATACACTGTATGTAGACTAGATCAGCCAATAAAATGTACCCATGTCAACTTTTAACATGTGGAGGTTAGAATACTTGAAAATAAATACTTTTTGTCTTGTGGTTGTCAGGGTTACAGATACTGGGGGGGTGTGGGGGTCCCTCAGAGCTGTGAGTCTGCGCTGACTCACTACAGACTCGTCGCCAATCTTGGTGAGTGTGTTTTTTTATTTGATACTGTGTACAGTGATTAAAACTGTAATGAAGGTGTGAAACTTGAGCACAAATGCAGAATCTATGCTGAAAATACTGTGGTTATATAGTTTTACTGACCGCTGCTCTTTCAGTTTGAAAATTGTTTGGGTTGAATGTTTGCAATGATTGTATGGCCTTGATCTGTATTCTCTGTCCCCCAGTGGCCAATGACGTGACTCTGACCGGCGGCTCCGCGGTGCAGAGGGTGCGGCTGCTGGACGAGGTGGAGAGTCCCGGCTCGTCCAGTGGGATGCTGGAGGAGGACCTGATCCAGTACTACCAGTTCCTCGCAGAGAAGGGAGACGTGCAGGCTCAGGTGGGATTGGCAGGAGGAAAGCATTTAGAAGATTTAAAGAATAGATATTTTGTTTTATTTTTGGCCATAAAAAGTAATTAAGACTATTTATGTAATTTCATGTTTTAGAATGGAAAATAATATATGCAGTAGAAATATTGTAAAACACAAAATGCTTGTGCTATCAGAGGTATCAAACACAGACACGTGATTGCAAAGAACATCATTTCCCTTAAAAAATTCCCAAAGCTTACTTATGGGCAAGGCTTTTGTTTAGTATGATGTCATAGTGGTACAATGACATCATACTCTTACTGGACTTGAAATAATCTTTAACTAGTTTATATATTTTATGTATAAGATTGGTGTTTTTGCAGTGTGTATAAGAGATGTATCAATTATAATGAATTGTATTTTTGTAGGTTGGTCTGGGTCAACTGCATCTACATGGAGGACGTGGTGTGGAGCAAAACCATCAGGTGATATATAACTAAATTAGGGCTGTCAAACGATTAATTTTTTTTAGTTGATTAATCGCATAGTACTGGTGAGTTAACTCACGATTAATCGCATGTTTAACATTCTATTTCAAATCCACTCCAATTGAAGTTAAATGAGATTATCAAATATAATTACCAGTATTGGGTAAATTACTTTGAAAAAGTAATTAGTTATAGTTACTTGGTACTTCTTCCAAAAAGTAATTGACTTACTAACTGAGTTACTCCACTATAAAAGTAACTAGTTACCAGTAAAAGTAACTATTGCGTGGTACCGAGCTTCAGCTGGCTGTAATTTAGGATTACTTCTAAGTAGATTAATTGCTGCAACAACCCCACCCTATTTTAGGTGCCATTTAATTAAATTGCATTTATTTTTATCCATTGATCAAACAAACAGATTACAAAACTTGCAATTGAAAGAGACTATTTTAAAATAATTAGTTCCCAAAAACACACACGAGCAACACTCGCGCCTGACAGTCAAGAACCAGGGAAAATACAGTACGCAGAGCGCTGAGTATGTGAACGGAGCAATCGCTTGCTGCTGTTATTATAATAGCTAGATCCATGCTTGCAGCCCGCGCAAAGCTTGCACTCACTCACAGCCGCTAACCACAACCAGAGCAGCCACGGAGGAGGCCATCTCACACGCAGCATTCTGAGTGATATTCTTATGGATAAATGGGCGGGTCATTCGGGCATGCGTTAATGCGTTTAAAAATAAATAACGCGTTCATAAAAACTGTAATTAACGTGAGTTAACGCGATAATTTTGACAGCCCTAAACTAAATACATGTACATTCGTCACTGTAAACCGCATCACAAGGTCAAATTTAAAAAAACGATACTAATTAAGAACATTGAATATGCAAATGGAATGTGACCAAAAGCAGTTGGGGAAAAGATAGTTAGAATTAGACTTGAATCAATGGATGTAATAAAGTGTTTTACCTTTTCACCACCAGAGGGCCTTTGACTACTTCACTCAAGCTGCTAATGCGGGAAACACGCACGCTATGGCTTTCCTCGGGAAGGTGAGTCAAGCTCATTTCTAAACATATAAACATTTGGCAAGCGTCTCTTTAACGATATCGAAGCACATATTCCCTTATATACGAGCAGTGTTGGAACATGGTTAGAATAGAAAGCAAAAGCGTACACTTGTGTCCTAAATCTTGTACTGTTTGCAGATGTACTCAGAGGGCAGCGACTCCATCCCCCAGAACAACGAGACGGCTCTGCATTATTTCAAGAAGGCTTCAGACCTGGTACAGTCCAGTCACAGCCGACCTTTGTTCTGACCACATCAGTGTGTAAATGATTCATTCTCTGTGCTCAGGGAAACCCAGTTGGACAGAGTGGCCTGGGGATGGCTTATCTGTACGGTAGAGGAGTACCAGTGGTGAGTTTTATAGCATTCACACCAGGTTTTGAAGCCAGATATGTCAGCACAGTCTTAAGCACTATAAAAAAAGAAGTCTTTTTGAAATAGTTAAAGAAATAGTAATATCTAATGTTTGTTTGTTTACTTGTGATGTGACACCTCGAGTCAAAATGACCCGCCACAGTGATTAAAAGTAGAAGCCAAATACCCTAAATTAGGGTCTAAATGACCCAGGGCTGGTCAAGTTAGGAAAAATCATCAAAGTCCAGCTTGAAAAAAATAATGTAGGGTATTTTTGAAAAACACCGTTGCGGTTCAATTTGGCCCGAGGATAGCATAAGAATCTTCAGTTAAACATATAATTATAGGAGATAAACACTGTGATATTTGATAAGTGAAATAAAGTTTGTATCATTACAGAATGAAATGCACAAGTGTGCATTTAGAATTATTAAACCAAATCAGGCATGTGCATAAATGTAGGAATCCTTTACATGACATTCATGCAGAAGAACAGGTACAATGTTCTGAAATGACCATCTCAGTCCCCAGACCTCAGTATTATTGAATATAGACGAAATAATGAATAATGTTAAGCAGCTGAATGATCAGGTAACGCTGTTGCTGTAACTCTAATTTTGTGCCAGGGTTGATTGTTTTGCTGTGGCTAAAAGCTGTTTTGAATTGTGGTGTTTGTGTCAGAACTATGAGCTGGCGTTGAAGTACTTCCAGAAGGCGGCGGAGCAGGGCTGGGTGGACGGACAGCTGCAGCTCGGCACCATGTACTACAGTGAGTGTGTTTCCACAGTCATGTCATGGTTAACAAATATCACCGTCTGATATTGTTTGGTGGAGGAGTGTACTCCATCATCCTAACCAGGACATTTACCAATAAAAGGGCTTGAACTCTGCCAAAATAAAAAGCACTAAGTACAAGTATTTGAGTCTTATTGATAGTGAGAAAAGGAGTATGGGATGTTTGGGTGAAGCTGAAGCTGAGTCTAAATTCATACTTTGGATTCACTGTTCAGTCTATCCTCTCCAAACCTGTGTAACCGTGTGACTGCTGCTCTGCCCTGCTCCTGTAGATGGCATCGGTGTGAAGCGTGACTACAAACAGGCGCTAAAGTTTTTCAACCTGGCGTCACAGGCGGGACACATCCTGGCCTTTTACAACCTCGCACAGATGCACGCCACGGGGACGGGCGTCATGCGCTCGTGTCACACCGCTGTGGAGGTAACACTCGAACACCTCTCTTCTACAGTAATCCTGCAGTCTGTGCTCCAGTGTGAACAGGTACACAGTCAAAACTTCCACCTGTGCCTCTCCTCAGCTGTTTAAGAGCGTGTGTGAGCGCGGGCGCTGGTCGGAGCGCCTCATGGCGGCCTACAGCAGCTTTAAAGAAGGACACGTGGACGCTGCGCTGGTGCAGTATCTGCTGCTGGCCGAGCAGGGATATGAAGTTGCCCAGAGCAACGTGGCTTTCATCCTGGACCAGAGTGAGTTTGATTTTAAGTTGGTCCTTTTCCAGAGGAGAGGAGTCTATTGTGAACATATTTTAGTCTTAGGAGTGTCATTAGCAACACAAGGTTAGGTTGTTGTTTTGGCTTCACAGTGTGGGGATAACAAAGGGAAAGCGCTGCATCTATGTTTGTACTAAAATTGGAACATTTCAGAATATTCTTTCTGACAAATACAGTCTAAAGATGACATGTTGTCCTTTTTGTCTGTGTCATATTGAGTCCTGTTGTTTTCTTTGAACAGAAGGAGTAAAGATCTTCAGTGAGAATGAGACGTATCCACGAGCATTACTGCACTGGACTAGAGCCGCTGCACAAGGTCTGATCCACTGCATCATATATGAGTTTATATCATCATAAACACTCGCACTCCTCTGCCCCCCCCCCAGGGTACACCGTGGCAAGGATAAAGCTAGGCGACTATCACTTCTACGGTTACGGAACTGATGTGGACTATGAGACGGCAGTGATCCACTACAGACTGGCCTCCGAGCAGCAGCACAGCGCACAGGCCATGTTCAACCTGGGATACATGCATGAGAAGGGTCTGGGCATCAAACAGGTGACCCTCACTATAGGCACCACATAGTGACCCAAAAGAACCACTGTGCTGAATGTGCAAAAACACAGTTTAACCTTGTGCAATCTGGACTCTCATAATCTTAATGAGACATTGTTTGTTACAACATTGTGTCCTCAAAAACCAACACTGAAACCCCATTCACTTAAACAAGTCTTATATTTCCCTGACTCTTGTGGTTTTGGTGTATGATTTTCATAATAATCATCAGGGTCGACCTGTCATGAAGTCTAAATGGCACTTGGCTAAGGGATAGACGGAGGGGTACATTATCCCTAAATGATCTTGTGTGCATTCAGGACATCCATCTGGCAAAGCGTTTCTACGACATGGCGGCGGAGGCCAGTCCTGACGCCCAGGTGCCAGTGTTCCTCGCTCTGTGTAAACTGGGGCTGGTCTACACGCTGCAATATCTACAGGACCTCAACGTGAGTGCTTCTATCATTGGTTCATATGGTGTGAATACTAAATAATTACACCACATGAGCATTGAAGCAAATGTATTCTTTAGACACCCCTATCTATTACAGGTGTCACGATTCTCCAAATCCTCGGTTCGATCAGATTTTTTATTTCTAGGGTCACATTTTGATTCAATTCTCGATGTCTTTTCTTTTTCTTACAGCACACTGTAGCTGGAGCTGCAGCTATCGATTATTTTAGTTTTCTCTCAATTATCCAGATTGATTCAACAAATTAATATTTTTGGCTTAATTATAGATATACAATATAAAATGACAAACCACTTAACAATAAGGATTTTTCTTACACTAGTATATACATAATTTTTACTTCTTTATTATGCTAAAGTTGATTTAAAAAATCTAAATTGTGACACCCCTCCTATCCAATTATTTCCATTTTATCTGAAAGACCCAACGCAAGGTGACAGAACACTAGTGAAAGGAAAATGGAACTTGACATTATTTACTCTAAACGTCTTTTGTCTCGTGCCTCAGCTGAATGAGCTGGTGTCTCAGGTGGATCTGGATCAACTCTTGGGACCGGAATGGGATCTGTACCTCATGACGGTCATCGCTCTGCTACTCGGCACGGTCATCGCCTATCGCCAACGGCAACACCAGATTATCCTGGCTCCGCCCAACCAGGAAGCCCCCGCTCAACCACAGCAACAGCCCCCACAGCAGCCGGACCCTCAGTGAGACGGAGACGTGCAGTTAGCAGGGCTTCTATTCACGCATTCCACAGGCATTTTGACCAGTTTCAACATAAGACTATATCTCACACATATATAAGTCACCATCGGAAAAAAACATTATGCAAATGTATATATTTTTTCCAGTGTTTTTAACCAAGTTTCCACGCTGTTCAGACCATTTTAAAACTAAAGTATTGCTTCCAAATGAGTAATCCAGTCCTATTCTTTTTTTACATTATTTTATTTAACCAGGAATGTCCCATTGATATTAAGAACCTCTTTTTCAAGGGAGTCCTGTCTGAATTTAAGGCCACTCTGTTTACAATGAGAAGCAATAATCTTTTTTCCACAATTCTACATAAAGAAAGAAAAGAGTTGTTTTTTGTTTGTAATTTTCCACATTGTTTTATTTATACATTATCACTAAACGAAACAATTCAGTTGGTCGCCCACATTTGTCCAACACTTGCCGAAAGTTTAACCAATCAGCCCCTGGCACAGTTTGACCAACACTGTATAGCAAAGCATTTTAAGGGAGAAATTTCAAAGAGGAAAAAAGCCATCGTCCATTTTGTCATTTATCCCAATTCAGAATACGGAAAAACTCAATTCTGCCTCTTATCTCTTCTTTTTCCCACTTTCATATCCATTTGTAGGCGTATATATTCAGTTGCAGTGTCCTTGGGCAAGAAAAAAAAAGGAAAGGAAAATCAATCTTGGCCACACTTGCAAAAGATAATGAGAAATACACCAAAATGCATGTATGGCTTAATTTATAGCTATTTGGTGGACTAAACACAACAACAGAAAAACTGGTCAAAATGACTCAAAAATGTGAATTCAAGCCATTTGAACTTTTTGTTCCAGTGCGCAGCCAGACAGGCAGGGGGCAGTGTTGTATGGACTCACAGACTGAAGCCGCACTGCTCTCTTCTACTTTTACTCTCCAAACTCCACTTTTCCGGTTTATTCTTCCTTTTATATTCATGTCTCCAGAGCGCCACCTACTGTTGAGAAGCGTTCACCAGTCCCATACTGTCCTCTTAGCGAGTTTTTTTTTTTTTTTCTGCTTTTTTGGGGCACATTTCTCCCTGAAATCTGATTGGAGTTGTACTTCAAGTTCTGTTAACCCATCACAGACTGCAAACAATGAAAAGAGGCTTAGTTAGTTTTAAAAAAAAAAGTCAGAAACGCAATTGAATTAGACATTTTAGGTGTGTTTTTTTTTCTTTTTTGGACACTTTGGACACTTTGGACAAGTCAATGGAATTCTTAATTTGATTTTCAAGTTCTGTCTGCTTTGTTTGACAATGGACTTTGGAAAGATTTCTGCATGTTACGATTCCATCTCACAATTGATTTCTTCTGATTTTCTTGTGGACAGTTATTTTAAAAAAAAAACGGACAAAACCATTCATGGTCATTTAGGTTTTTTTAAATTGTTTCTAGGATTACGTTGGAGCTATTAGTCTGACTTCAAAATGGAAATCTGTTTACTTGAAATGCTGGAATAAAATTGCTCACATTAAATAAATAACTTAATTTATGAAAGTTGTAACTTTGTCGTCCCAGGTGTTTTTGTGGTAAAGCAAGGGTCTATTCAGTTACAGTGTATATATATATAATCAACAACGCTTTTAAGTTTTGAAATGACCAAAAATAACATAACAATTCTTCCATCCGTCCGCTCAAATCTCTCATCTTTTTTTTAGATAAATATTTTTATCGTAGAAAAAAAATAACAATACAAAAAACAAAAGAACAAGCTGAATTAATTACTTTATCACCAATATGGCCATACTTGCATTCAAAAGCCAGATCCCATTAGACTTTGGAAGCTAAGCAGGTCAGGGCCTGGTTAGTATTGTGATGGGAGACCTCTCGGAACACCAGTTGCCACAGTGAGGCGGCTGCAGCTGCAAAGTGCCAAATTCTTGATGTGTCCTTAGGCAAGACACTTCACCCACATTGCCTAGAATGAGTCTGGTGTCTGTGAATGGTTGGTAGTGTTCAGTGGGATGGATGACACATACTGGTTGCTGTGCGTTTGTCAGTGTGCCCCAGGGCAGCTGTGGCTACCATTGTAGATAAGCACCTCTGTGTAGGGAGTTAAAGAATAATGCCGTGGAGCGTCCTGAAAAGCACTATATAAAACCCATATACTGTATCATAATTATATTATAAATATACAAGTCTTCATGGGATATTGACTCCCGTTCATCTTCACTCGGAAAATAACCTGTCGACTGGTGAATGTAGGGTTTAGTGTTGTTTTAGTTCGGAATTTCTTGATTAGAATAGAGGCTCATGCTGTAACATTGTGGGAAGTGCAGTTTTTAATCCAATCTGTTGTGAGAATATCCGCCTCACGTCCCACTGTCTCCATCTGATCCATAAAACACTGCTTTAAATAGACTCCATCTGACCATTGCCTTTTCGCTCTCATGAAATGCAATCATTCATAGAGAGACTTAAACTACAACACAAGTGCTTCGTTCTTGATTAACCTTGCCAAGTACAGAGATCCAATTGACGAAATGTAAGCATAGAACTCATGGAAACGTGAAAGATCAAAATGTTTCTTCTAAAGGCCCATTTCCACTGAGAAAACACAACCTGCTGCTGGTGTGTCCAAATGAGTTGACATTTAACCCACCTTGTGACCCTTTGTGTATTTGCAAAGGAATGTTCAGTGGGAACACGCCAACAAAATATAGCAGTGATTTAGACACAATAAAATGAAATAGTTTTGAATTTGTGGCAAGAGCAAGAGTGAAGTCCAAGGAAAAAATATGTTGGAAAATGTGGAGCAATATCAACAGAATTAAACGATTCCCTCTGGCATTGGGTGCACTGCGCGGCAACTTATACGTTCTCTTTTCTCTCCATGGTGGAAAACACGCCTACCTTTCCCACTGTTGTCACACCATTTCAACACGGGTTTGCAGTACGGAAACACATACACGCTCTGGTATCCACCTTTAACTCCAAACTCATAAATGAAATATATCAATGTATACAAACGTTCATGGTGATGTCACATGTATTCCTCTTGGAGTTTTGTGCTTCATGGAATGTCCTTAAGTCTGGTTTTCGGATAAAAAATTCCTCAACTGTTAAAGGGGAAGTGTTCGTTCTACAGTCAGTCAGTCAGAGCCAAACTCCAGCTACAGCAGAGGTTGGCTCCAAACATGAAGGCCACCGTGGAGGAACAAAATTGTCTGATCGTTCCTAAAATGAGACAAGAGGCGGATCGGTCTACCCTCGTTTCCAGCGGAAGACATTTTTATTAATGTTACAAAGACGACACGAGCAAAGATTAGTAGTGTGCATGTGAAATTATACCCATAGACTGTTTATACCATGAGGGAATCATAGACGCTCCAATCAGCAGCTGCCATGATGCTAGTAACAAATTCCACTGAAAAATTTCACTGGCTTGTGCTTAGTGTCCTAATGATGAGTTCAGCTTTAACCACAGTGTTATAACATATCCATACTACATATAATTTGAGTAAAGTAGAATTTTGAGGCTGAAACTGCAGAGCCACAGCCTCAGAGCCCGTTCATTTATTTCTTCTCCAGGTTTGTACTCTGGGTCCTACAGAAGATTCAGTTTGATTTTTCTTTCTAAAAACATAACATACAGGTCTCTTTAGAACTCTTTAGTCCCTCCCCCTTGTGAAACCGCAGCGTATTGGGCCTGTGCTTGTGTTTGCATGCGTGTGTGTGTGTGTGTGTGTGTGTGTGTGTATGAATATGCCTCTTTGGAACAATGGCGGGGGCCCCTCTCTCTCTCTCTTTCTGCTGTTCTCTTTGGGGTCTTTTGTTTTTGCTGCCCCCGGTGAGCTCCCGGCTGCAGAGCGTCCGCACTATGGCCCTGACACGATGGAGAGACTGTGGATGACTGTGGCCACGTGTGTCCTGGCCTCCCGCTGCACAAGAGGTAAGTGCTGGAAGCCTAACCCTAACCCCACACAAAGTCAAACTAAAGCAGGGACATGCGGCGTTAACCCTTTAACCCCTGGTTTTCTCAGTCATTTAGGTAGATCAACCTTATGAGTCAATATATATCAAACCGCAAACTGCACCTCAACCCTTATTTGAATTTTTTGTTCGTGTTTTTAGTACTGCTACATCTTAGAAAATCCAGAAAAGAAACAAAAAATACATTGCTTTCTTCAAGGAGTGAATGTTAAAGGGTTTATGGTTATGGATTAACCTTTGAGTTAATGTATCTCAAATTAGTTTCTGGGCCATAGTGGACTCAAACACAGAAAGACTGAGAAGTGGACTGTTGAAAGAGCTTTTGGATATACATTTTTGTTAAATCACAGCCTTTGTTTTTATTCAACATTTACCAATACCATTTAAAAATCCTAACACAATCCTGGTTCATCTAGACCCTTTTAAACCCTTATTTAGGCAATTTTTTTTCTACTTTTAGTCATCTGCGGTAGGTAATTTTGACCCAAAGATAGCACCAAGGTTATGGGGTTGATTTGAACCATGTTTTGGTCTTCTCTTGCAGGAAGTGAGTGGTGGTGGGAGTATGAAGAAGGAATAAGCCACTACAGCAAAGAAGCTCTGACCCAGGTGTGGCGAGGGTTTATGTCGAGGAAAAGTTGTTTGATTGAGATACAGCTTTCTTTCTTATTTTTTCGTCATATTTACATTTAGCAAATTATTTGGTAAATTAGCTTTTCATGCATGGTTTATAGAAGTGTTTACTCCAATGATTTTTTAAATTTCAGCACAATTTTGTAGAAATAAAGGATTGGTCTCTGTATCCACTTCAACTAGCAGTATTTTTCTGTAAGAGAATTTGGATATTTTATAGGTTCTTCCCTAAACGCCAATACTATGGATAAAATATGGTGCTTAATTTATTCTCTAATTATTATTAAAACAGAGAAACGGTAAACAGATTATACAAAAAAATCATAATATTTTACACATATTCAAGATTGTTAGATTTTCTTTTTAGATTTATAATTTTATGCATATTATGTTTCCAAGTAACCATTTAACTAGGCCAGAACACCACCATTTTACGGATAAATTATTGATTGACCGATTTCAATTCACCCTGCCAAGAAACTCTGTGATCTCTGCCTCTGTCTTTGTCTGTCTGCGTTTTATCTGTGTCTGTCTTTCTCAATATCTGTCTGTGTCTGATGGTTAAAACAGGCCACATTCCACCAAAATTGATCTAAATGTAAAAATATCTTCAAAACCTTCCCTAAAAAGTCTGGTTTTAAAGCTGGATTAGGGCTGTGGGAGCCTATGTGCAGCTGTATACAGAGTGAATACGCTGTGATAAGATAACAGCGGCAGGAATCTGGAGCATGAGCAGAACAAGCACAGCTGAAGGAAAAACGTACAGACAGATAAGAACAATATACTGCTTCAATGTATGTCTGTGAACTCATTCAACGGGATTTTGTAACATGCCACATTTTCTCCCCAGGAGTTCCCAGAGAAAACACGTCCGGTCAGTTTCAAACATCCAGTGTTTGAGTGCCCCGACATGAGGCCGTCCCCGTCTGTGCCCAGCTCAGGTCTGTGCCCAGCTCAGGTCTGTGCCAGTCTCTCAGTATTTGTTCTCAGTGAGAGAAGGATAGAGCAGGAGATTGAGACATGGTTGGTGCGGCCTCTGCAGTGATGTGGTCGCAGCTGCAGTCAAAGTTCTGGATTCATTGCTCAGTCTGTTGTCACTCTAATGTGGTGTTGGGAGAATACTTTAAAAATGTATTCAGTTACAGAATAATGAATGCCTGCTTTAAAAAAAGAATTTTTAAAACCGTGTAACAATGAGGCAATGGAAAAATTCTTTAGGCGCAAGAGTTTTTTTTAGAAATGAGAACATTTGGACGGATCGAATCTTTACAAGAGATGGACAAAAATCACTGACAAAAATGTAGGGAAAGGTTTATGCAGTGTCCCGGGTTCAGGATCTTGTGTAGTAATTTTGATACTTTGTCCATTAGGAAAGGAAACAAAATCACACACACCATGAAGTGACATTTCAGTTGTAGAGTCAAATAAGCTTGTTCAAATAAAACATTTTCAAAATAATTATCGTCATGAGTGTTAAAGAATGGGCGGACTCCTCTAGAGGCAGCGTGAGTAGCTCGAGGGCCCCAGAGCCTGCTGCAGGGGCCACGTGTCTTATGAGGGGCGCTTTGTAGAGCTGCAACTAACGATTATTTTGTAATCGATTAATCTATCGATTATTTTTACGATTAATCGAGTAATCGCTTGGCTGTGAATTGTGTAGAAAAAAAAATATTTTTTCATCACAAAAAGCTAAAGTGGCAACACTCGAGGATGTATTGATGGCGTAAACTTAAAGTAAATGTTTGTAACAGGCTCTTTGTGCTAATTCTGCTCTGATTGGATGAGACAGACAGATATTCATGAAATTATAAAAACAAAGTCGGTTTTAATCAAAAATACTAAATTTTCATGTCATGTTTGCTCTGTTTGAGTCCGTGTGAACCAGAAAACGATTAATCGATTACTAAAATAGTTGTCGACTATCAATAATCGATTAGCGGTCGATTAAGCGCTTTGTGTTGCGTTGTGTAGGAAAGATACTCTACAGATAAAAGTTGATGATCGATTGATTTTGATGAGCTGAAGAAAGGATGGATGTATTTTGACTTTGTCTCTTCTGCAGTTGAATTGGTGAAAGCTGCTGACATCAAGATCATCGCTGCTCTGGGAGACTCTCTGACTGTGAGAACACTTTTGGGTCTTTGTACTTTTACAAATTGAATGCTGAATTGCTTTAAGTTAAGGCAGTAGTCTCCATTCAATTTGACTGAGGGCCGCGCACGGTCAAGTCTGGGTGTAGCTAGGTGGGTATGATTCAGAGCCTTTTTTTACTTTTGGTCCAGTTTTTTGGGAAAAATTGATACACCAATAAATTTTTTTATTTGAAATAAAATAGTCAGATGCAAAAGAAGATTTACAAACTACTTTCTACAACAAAAATCAATCTTTGTATAATGATAAATAGAACACGGGAAGGGAAGTAGTCATGCGGTGTCTGCGCTGGTGAGGGCGTACAGGGGAAGTGAAAGGTTTGGAAACACTGCACTACACCACGGCCAAAAGCTGTGAAAAAGTGCGTGTGATGTTGTGTTTATGTTTTTGTGTAAAACTGCTGTGCTTTTCAGACAGCCATAGGGGCAAACGCCTCCAACGTCTTGGGGATCCCCATTGAGTTTCGCCACGTGTCCTGGAGGTAATCACTTTTTTAAACCTGCATCTGTATCTGCACACCACACCATGAATGTTTTTTTTTCTTTATCTGCAGCATCGGTGGATACGGCTCGTTTGAAGATGTCATTACTCTGGCAAGTAAGATCAACGCATTTAGAAGAAGTCTGTTGATACTGGTTAAAAGCACATTACACAAAGTGGGGAAAGTTGCAGTGTTGTTTGGACCCGTGTCGGCTTGTCACCACGCGCAGGGCAGAAACATGAATTGTCAAAACAAACTTTTGACTTTCAAACTGTATTGATTCAGAAAATTATTTTATATTATATATAATATATATATATATATATATATATATATATTAAATAAGTCTGTCAAAACTACTACTACACCAGTGTTAATACACTGGTGATCCATATCCATCGTGGATCACTATCGTGGATCACTATCGTGGATCACCATCGTGGATCACCATCGTGGATCACCATCGTGGATCACCATCGTGAATCACCATCGTGGATCACCATCGTGGATCACCATCATGGATCACCATCGTGGATCACCATCGTGGATCACCATCATGGATTGTGTCATGACCCCTCTGCTTTTTCTCTCCTCAGACATCATCAAACTGTTCAACCCGTCGCTCCTGGGGGCCGCCCCGGGGAAGACGGTCCACGGGATGCAGGCTCACATCAGCGACACGGGCTTCAATCTGGCTGTGACGGGACACAACACTTTGTACCAACTTTTCACATTCCAACACACACTCTGGAGACACTTCTGTTTGTAATCAGGAACTTTTGGCTTTTCTGCAGCAACCTCCCTGGACAGACCAGGAACCTGATCGACACGCTCCGAGGACACGAGGTTTAGACTTTTACTCATCTTTAATACTCTGAAATACATTTCTTCCATCTTGTGGTAGAAGTGGGACATTACATTCTGTGGCGAGATACAATATAAACCTTATATGACACAAAACACAATCCAGATCAATATTTTCAAGAAGTTGCTAAAGATTTTCTATTTCTCTTTCCAGTTTGGAGTTACAAGTTAATTTTATTTTTTTATTTTTTCGGTCCGTTTAATAGTGTTGCAGAAATGAAATGACTTGTGCTACTGCAGTTGAGTCAGTGTGAAAATCAAATGCTCAAAGAAAAAATACGTTATGCGATTACATTTTTATAAAAGCGTGTTTATTCAGCATATGTGAGTAACTTTGTGATTTAGGTTACTGTTCCATAGTTTGAGAGCTAAGTCAAAGTTATGACACTTTTGAAAGCATCACAAAGCTCAGCTATGAACTGCACATTAAACTGTTTGACACTTTTTTATTTCTAATTGAACTCTGTATTCTTATTTTTTATAATATTCACATTTTCGATGTCAAACTAGAAAAGCACTCATGGAGCACAGACCTTGGACAAGAGGCACATTTCCAATCCTTAAAGTCCCGGCTTCATAATAATACTTATTATTATACAATTTGTTTCTTGTTCCATTTCTGATATCTTCTATATTTCCTGAAAATACATTTAGAAATAATTTTTCGAGTTAGCTTTGATAGGCGGGCAGACAAACCCTGGTGAAAACATTACCCCTTAAAGGTGATAATAGTAAAAGCAGTTTTCCTCTTCCTCCATGAGATGAGGGTGTTTCACTGATCCTGATCTTCTGTTGCCTATTATTACCTACTATACATGTTTATCCATAAACATAATAATTCTGTTACATTCTAAAACTGGAGAGTGCCAAAAATGTACCGTGTAAATGCATAACCATGTTTGTTCTTGAAGGGTTTGAACTTTGAGGAGGACTGGAAGCTGCTGACGATTCTGATGGGAATGAACGACATCTGCGATTACTGCAAAGACAAGGTGAGAGTCGCTCTTCTCACGTGGAAGACTTTAACGCTGACCCACTGCTCAAACTCTTCCTTCGTCACCTCCAGGCTCTGTTTTCTGTGGACAACTTCATCCACTACATGACCGTGTCCCTGGAGATGCTCATGAACGAGGTTTGTAAATGTAGACTTACACTCTCTGCTCGGCTCGTGACCGTAGACCGTAACAGACAACATTTTTCTGAACATTTTAAAGCGCTTTGGGTGACCTTGGTCTGTAAAATGCGCTATATAAAATAACATTACTTACTTACTTACTTACTAACATTTTGTATTTATACTGTATATAGATATAGAAAAGATAAAATACCAAAAAATTAAAAAAGGAGCCTGGATAAATGACCATACATAATTTCCCCGAACAGATGAAATAGCCGTTGAAAAATTCTAAATTGGCCTCTCACATCTTGCCCTAACAATTAAATAGAGCTCAACGGTGGTTAATATACTCTGTCTGATTAACAAGTCATGAAGTCAAAGAAGCACACTAGAGAGGTCGGGTTAGTTTTTATATTTCCCATGCTTTCGGAAATGGTTGGATAAATAAAGAAGTCTGAATCTGAATCCATCAACTATACTCAAAAACAAAGGTGATAATAGTGTTTGTTGAGGAGCCTTGTTGTTTTCGGTTGCAGGTTCCTCGTCTGATTGTCAACGTGGTGCAGATTTTGCCCATGAAGAGTCTGAGGGAGGTGCAGAGGCCTACACCGGGGTGTCTGCTGCAGAGGTCTACTCCACCACATAACACATCCAATACAATCAATATCTGCCAACAGCAATCGTATCACAGAGTGTGGCTGTCACAGAGTGTGGCTGTCACAGAGTGTGGCTGTCACAGAGTGTGGCTGTCACAGAGTGTGGCTGTCATAGAGTTGATTTGCCAACAGCAGATTAGAAAAGAAAAAAAACAAAGTAGAACACATGAAATACAATACAATACAATACAATACAATACAATTTATTCTTGTATAGCCCTAGGTCACAACAGAAGTCATCTCAGAGGACTTAACAAAACCATTGAAATCACCAACACAGGTCAGAGAATCAACAGTTAAAACACATGAAGAATACAGTATAAAGCACACACAGAAGAAAATGTCCATACATGTTGTAGAATGCTAAAGTGTCCTGATCATCACCAATCCTTTCTGTTGGACACTAAACTGTCCAACAAGACCCTCCTGCATCGACAAGGAAAAACTCTTAAAAAACCCAGTGGGAAAAAGTGAGAAACCTTGGAGGAGAACTAGGGAAACCCACAGGGAGGGAGACCCATATGAGAAAGGGATCCGCTCCTCCGGACGGACAGACTAATGATCCAGGACCTAAGCTAGCTACAGAACGTGGACCAGTGGACGCTGAACGTGGACAGGTCCGGTGCAGGACTGAAGCACTCCCAGGCGGGTCGGGCGGGGCAGTCCGCAGGTGTAGATGGAAGAGGCCAGGCTCAGAGATCCCGTCATCGTACCATGAAACAGACAATGGGACAACGGGTGAATAGCAATGAACAAACTACAGTCAGAATCCTAAAAATGCTAAACAGATAAAGTAGGAAGGAGGAGAGGATAGTGCTCAAGTTACCATACTTCTCCCAGCAAACTGACTCCCTATGCAGCTTGACTAACACTCTGAGGAGTTTAACCTTCTCCGAGTCTTACCTTCCTAGCCATATGCTAAACTAAAGAGGACTGTTTTAAACCTAGCCTTGAATAAAGAATAACATACAGCATAATATATAACATAATATACAACATAACACAATACATTATTGAATAATATATAACATAATATATAACATAATACAGCATATATATATAATATATACACTACATATTATATATTACCTAATTATATGCTAAATTAAAGTAAAGTGCTTTAAGCCTGGCCTTGAATGTGGAGACCGTATCTGCTTCCTTAACATAAATGGGAAGCTGATTCCACAGTAAAGGAGCTTGGTAGCTAAATGCTCTGCCACCAACAGTGACCTTTGAGACCTTAGGGACCACCAGACGTCTGGCGTTTTGTGAGCGCAACGCTCGACCTGGTTGATACGACACTAACGTGTCTTGGAGATAAGAAGAAGCCAAGCCATTTATGGCTTTATATGTTAAGAGTAGGATTTTAAACTTTAGTGGAGTGATTTTAACACCGGAGTTATGTGCTCCCTCCTTTTGGTACCTGTTAAGATCCTAGCTGCTGTATTCTGAACGAGCTGGAAGCTCTTCAAAGAGGCTTTAGGGCACGCTGCCAGTAAAGCGTTACAGTAGTCGAGCCTTGAGGTGACAAACGCGTGAATGAGTTTTTCCGCGTCACTTTTAGGAAGGAAATTCCTAATTTTAGCGATGTTCCGTAAGTGGAAGTACGCCGTTTTAGTTGCTTGGCTTATATAAGCCTTGAAGGAGAGTTCTTGGTCAAAAATGACTCCAAGATTCCTCACAGTGTTACTGGGTATTATACTGACATTATCGAGAGTAATTATCTGGTTAGTGAGGGAGTCACACAGGCGCTTCGGACCGAGTAGGATCACTTCTGTCTTCTCCGGGTTGAGAAGTAGGAAGTTAAGAGTCATCCACATTTTAAGGTCCTTTATGCAGGCACTGAGCTTTTCTAGCTGATCTGTCTGATTAGGCTTCATCGACAGATAAAGCTGTGTGTCATCTGCATAGCAGTGGAAATTAATTCCATGCTTTTTAATAATGTTTCCCAGTGGCAGCATGTAGAGAGTAAAAAGAATCGGTCCGAGTACCGAACCCTGCGGCACACCGAATTCCACTCCAGAATAAGGCGACGAGTCCTGATTCACATTGACGAAGTGATATCGATCTGATAAATAGGATTTAAACCAGCCAAGGGCTGTTCCTCTAAGACCTATATCACATTCTAGCCTCTGCAGTAGAATGCTGTGGTCTATTGTGTCAAATGCAGCACTAAGGTCCAGTAGGACCAGCACTGACACTTGTCCATTATCGGCAGCTAGTAGTAAGTCATTTGTGACTTTGACTAGTGCCGTTTCAGTGCTATGATGAGCTCTGAATCCTGATTGAAAGACTTCAAACATATCATTTTCCTGCAGGTGGCAGCGGAGCTGCTCAGCTATAAGTTTTTCCAGGATTTTAGATATAAAAGTGAGGTTTGAGATCGGTCTGTAGTTTGTAAGTATTTCTAAGTATTTCTGTATATTTGTAAGTATTTCTGTTTTATTGTAAATACAACAATAAAACATCCATCCATCCATCCATTTTCTTCCGCTTTATCCGTTGCCGGGTCGCGGGGGCAGCAGTCTAAGCAGAGACGCCCAGACTTCCCTATCCACACACACCTCCTCCAGCTCGTCCGGGGGGACCCCAAGGCGTTCCCAGGCCAGCTGAGAGACATAGTCTCTCCAGCGTGTCCTGGGTCTTCCCCGGGGCCTCCTCCCGGTGGGACGTGCCCGGAACACCTCCCCAGGAAGGCGTCCAGGAGGCATCCTGAACAGATGCCTGAGCCACCTCAACTGGTTCCTCTCGACGTGGAGAAGCAGCGGCTCTACTCCGAGCTCCTCCCGTGTGACTGAGCTCCTCACCCTATCTCTAAGGGAGCGCCCAGCCACTCTGCGGAGGAAGCTCATTTCGACCGCTTGTATCCGCGATCTCGTTCTTTCGGTCATTACCCACAGCTCATGACCATAGGTGAGGGAGGGAACGAAGATTGACCGGTAAATCGAGAGCTTCGCCTTTCGGCTCAGCTCCCTCTTTACCACAACGGTCCGATACAGAGACCGCATCACTGCGCACGCTGCACCGATCCGCCTGTCAATCTCACGCTCCATCCTTCCCTCACTCGTGAACAAGACCCCGAGATACTTGAACTCCTCCACTTGAGGAAGGACCTCTCCATCCACCTGAAGAGGGCAAGGCACCTTTTTCCGGTCGAGCACCATGGCCTCAGATTTAGAGGTGCTGATTCTCATCCCAGCCGCTTCATACTCGGCTGCAAACCGTCCCAGTGCATGCTGCAGGTCCTGGTTCGTTGGAGCCAGCAGGACGACATCATCCGCAAAAAGTAGAGATGAAATCCTGTGGTTCCCGAACCGGACCCCCTCCGGCCCCTGGCTGTGCCTAGAAATTCTGTCCATAAATACAGTGAACAGAACCGGTGACAAAGGGCAGCCTTGGCGGAGGCCAACATGCACCGGGAACAGGTCTGACTTACTGCCGGCAATGCGAACACAGCTCTGACTCCGGTCTTACAGGGACCGGACGGCCCTCAGCAGAGGACCCCGGACCCCGTACTCCCGGAGGACCCCCCAAAGGACACCCCGGGGAACACGGTCGAACGCCTTCTCCAAATCCACAAAGCACATGTGGACAGGTTGGGCAAACTCCCATGAACCCTCGAGTATCCGATGGAGAGTATAGAGCTGGTCCAGTGTTCCGCGACCGGGACGAAAACCACACTGCTCCTCCTGAATCCGAGATTCGACCATCGGACGTAGCCTCCTCTCCAGTACCTTGGAGTAGACCTTACCGGGGAGGCTGAGGAGTGTGATCCCACGATAATTGGAACACACCCTCCGGTCCCCCTTCTTGTAGAGAGGGACCACCACCCCGGTCTGCCACTCCATTGGCACCGCCCCCGATCGCCACGCGATGCTGCAGAGACGTGTCAGCCAAGACAGTCCTACAACATCCAGAGACTTTAGATAGGCAGGACGGATCTCATCCACTCCCGGCGCCTTGCCACCATGGAGGCTGCCAACCACCTTGGTGACCTCTGCCAGGGAGATGCAAGTGTCCGCCCCAACATCCTCAGCCTCTGCCTCCTGGACGGAGGACGTGACGGGGGGATTGAGGAGAACCTCGAAGTATTCCTTCCACCGCCCGACAATATCCCCAGTCGAGGTCAGCAGCCCTCCACCCGCACCATACACGGCGTTGGCAAAGAACTGCTTCCCCCTCCTGAGGCGCCGGACGGTTTGCCAGAACCTCTTCGAGGCCGACTGATAGTCATGCTCCATGGACTCTCCGAACTCCTCCCAGTCCCGGGTTTTTGCCTCTGCAACAGCCCGGGCCGCGGCACGTTTGGCCTGCCGGTACTGGACAGCTGCCTCAGGAGTCCCACGAACCATCATTGCTCGATAGGACTCCTTCTTCAGCCTGACGGCATCCCTTACTGCCGGTGTCCACCACCGGGTTCGGGGATTGCCGCCGGGACCAGCACCAGAGACCCTGCGACCACAGCTACGAGCCGCCGCATTGGCGATAGAGGAAGAGAACATGGTCCACTCGGACTCGATGTCCCCCTCTTCTGCCGGGACCTGGGAGAAGCTCTCCCGGAGGTGTGAGTTGAAAGTCCGTCTGACAGGGGGCTCAGCAAGACGTTCCCAGCAAACCCTCACTACACGCTTGGGTCTGCCAGGTCTGACCGGCCTCCTGCCCTGCCAGCGGATCCAACTCACGACCAGGTGATGATCGGTTGACAGCTCCGCCCCTCTCTTCACCCGAGTGTCCGAGACACGCGGTCGAAGGTCAGATGATACGACAACGGCCCGTAGGCCGTCACAACAGTGAGAGACTTGTCCCCCACCCGGAGGCGGAGGGACGCGACCCTCTCATTCACCGGGGAGAACTCCAACACGTGGCGGCTGAGATGGGGGGCAATGAGTATGGCCACCCCAGCTCGCCGCCTCTCCCCGCGGGAAACACCAGAAAAGTGGAGCGTCCAACCCCTCTCAAGGAGTTGGGTTCCAGAGCCCAAGCTGTGTGTGGAGGTGAGGCCGACTATCTCTAGTCGGTATCGCTCAACCTCCCCCACAAGCTCGGGCTCCTTCCCCCCCAGTGAGGTGACGTTCCACGTCCCAACAGCCAGATGTTGGGTGTGTGGACTGGGTCGTCGAGGTCTCCGCCTTCGACTGCTACCCAGTCCTCGCTGCACCACGCCACCACGGACCCCTCTGCAGGTGGTGGGTGGTGGGTGGTGGTGGGACTGCCCACGTCATCCCTTCGGGCTGAGCCCGGCCGGGCCCCGTGGGCTAAGGCCCGGCCACCAGGCGCTCGCTTGCGAGCCCCGACCCCAGGCCTGGTTCCAGGGTGGGGCCCCGGCTGCGCCATGCCGGGCGACGTCACGGTTTTTGTTGTTGTGCTCTCCATACAATAAAACACGTAAAAGTAATTGGTCCATAGTTTAATGGGGTTCATCAGTGTCCACAGAGGTCAAACTGAAAACTGAAAAACTTGGTGGCAAATATACAAATATTTTGGCTGTAGATCCAGGACTGAGGCCGTAGATCCAGGACTGAGGCCGTAGATCCAGGACTGAGGCCGTAGATCCAGGACTGAGGCCGTAGATCCAGGACTGAGGCCGTAGATCCAGGACTGAGGCTGGAGATCCAGGACTGAGGCTGGAGATGTGTGGTGTCTCCAAATGCTGATTGAAGTGTTTATTGTTTATTCCCCTCAATCCTGGACGGGGAAGGGGAGATAACAAACATACTCACATGTGGGAGTTTTGACATAGGCGTCATGAGGGTGTCATTGTAAAAACTCTAGCGTTAGAGCATAATGTGTAGGACTGAATAGCAGGAGTAGCACTTATGACATACGTGGTTCCTCAGGTCGTTCTGCTCGTGTCTCATCGAGCCGGTTTCTGGCTCTCCTCCGCTTCAGGAGCTGCTGCAAGTCAACGTGGAGTTTCAGGTCTGCACTATTTATTAAGACCTTTAGTAACTGGTATAAATTGGTGGATTCTTGTGTAAAAGTCACCATACTTTCTTGACTATAAGGCACACCTCTATATAGGCCACACCAAAGAGGAAAATCTGCTAAAATTATCCATGTGTTTGAATTTTACATAATTTAATTGATTTTATTTTTTATTTAGAAGAATATGAATGTGTTTGTCTGTTTGTGACAGAAGCGGCTGGAGAATCTGCTCCACACTGACCGATTCTTCAGACAGGACTTTGCTGTGATCCTTCAGCCGTTCCTGAAGCATGCCGACCCCCCGCGCCTCCCGGTAACCCCATCTACAACCCCATCTACAACCCCATCTACAACCCCATCTACAACCCCATCTACAACCCCATCTACAACCCCGTCTACAACCCCGTCTACAACCCCATCTACAACCCCATCTACAAACCCATCTACAACCCCATCTACAACCACAACCAAGGCTTGTTCTACTCCAGAACTGTCTGCAGTAGGCCTGTTCAACGCATAGTCTGTGTGTTAGGAGTGGACTGACGTTTCCATAATGTTTGCCGAACACAAACAGCCCCCATACAACGCTTTTGAAGCAGTAAGACATGCAAAAATTTCCCATATGCCTGCAGTTGAAGCCTTGAGTATGCACAGACGAGTGCAGCGCTGCACACCGAGCTGCGGTTGTCAACCCATGATAGGAGCCTTGCATATTTACATAGCTGCCCTGGGGCGAGGCAACCAGTATGTGCCATCGGCCCCTCCGACCACCACCAACCATTCACACACACACCAGACTCATTCTACGCAATGGGGGTGAAGTGTCTTGCCTGAGGACACAACGGCAGTTTGGCACTTTACAGCCGCAGCCGCCCCACTGTGGCACCTGGTGTTCCCAGAGGTTAAGTGTCTTGCCAAGGACACAACGACAGCAGACAGTGGGAGTCGGTGGTGAAAGTCGGGCTCGAACTCACAACCCTCTGGCTCAAAGGCAAATGCTCTACCAACTGAGCTACTGTCGCCCTGACAGGTAGTTTTTACTGTGCCTTGCAAAAGTATTCGGCCCCCTTGGACCTTTCAACATTTCGCCACATTTCAGGCTTCAAACATAAAGATATAAAAATTTAATTTTTTGTCAAGAATCAACAACAAGTGGGACACAATCGTGAAGTGGAATGAAATTTATTGGATAATTTAAACTTTTTTAACAAATAAAAAACTGAAAAGTGGGGCGTGCAATATTATTTGGCCCCCTTGCGCTAATACTTTGTAGCGCCACCTTTTTCTGCAATTACAGCTGCAAGTCGCTTGGGGTATGTCTCTATCAATTTTGCACATCGAGAGACTGGAATTCTTGCCCATTCTTCCTTGCAAAACAGCTCGAGCTCAGTGAGGTTGGATAGAGAGCGTTTGTGAACAGCAGTCTTCAGCTCTTTCCACAGATTCTCGATTGGATTCAGGTCTGGACTTTGACTTGGCCATTCTAACACCTGGATACGTCTATTTGTGAACCATTCCATTGTAGATTTGGTTTTATGTTTTGGATCATTGTCCTGTTAGAAGATAAATCTCCGTCCCAGTCTCAGGTCTTTTTCAGACTCCAACAGGTTTTCTTCCAGAATGGTCCTGTATTTGGCTCCATCCATCTTCCCATCAATTTTAGCCATTTTCCCTGTCCCTGCTGAAGAAAAGCAGGCCCAAACCATGATGCTGCCACCACCATGTTTGACAGTGGGGATGGTGTGTTCAGGGTGATGAGCTGTGTTGCTTTTACGCCAAACATATCGTTTTGCATTGTGGCCAATAAGTTCGATTTTGGTTTCATCTGACCAGAGCACCTTCTTCCACATGTTTGGTGTGTCTCCCAGGTGGCTTGTGGCAAACTTTAAACGAGACTTTTTATGGATATCTTTGAGAAATGGCTTTCTTCTTGCCACTCTTCCATAAAGGCCAGATTTGTGCAGTGCACGACTGATTGTTGTCCTATGGACAGACTCTCCCACCTCAGCTGTAGTTATCTGCAGTTCATCCAGAGTGATCATGGGCCTCTTGGCTGCATCTCTGATCAGTCTTCTCCTTCTTTGAGATGAAAGTTTGGAGGGACGGCCGGGTCTTGGTAGATTTGCAGTGGTCTGACACTCCTTCCATTTCAATATAATTGATTGCACAGTGCTCCTTGAGATGTTTAAAGCTTGGGAAATCTTTTTGTATCCAAATCCGGCTTTAAACTTCTCCACAACAGTATCTCGGACCTGCCTGGTGTGTTCCTTTGTCTTCATGGTTCTCTCTGCGCTTTAAACAGAACCCTGAGACTATCAAAGAGCAGGTGCATTTATACGGAGACTTGATTACACACAGGTGCATTCTCTTTATCATCATCAGTCATTTAGGACAACATTGGGTCATTCAAAGATCCTCACTGAACTTCTGGAGTGAGTTTGCTGCACTGAAAGTAAAGGGGGCGAATAATATTGCACGCCCCACTTTTCAGTGAAATATGGCAAAATGTTGAAAGGTTCAAGGGGGCCGAATACTTTCGCAAGGCACTGTAACAAAAGAAGGAGGGGTGGCCGGTTTTTGCAGTGATTCTAGACATTTCCTTTTTTCTTTCTAAAAGTCTGACCACACCAGCCCACAGAGACCATAAGGACGAACACATACATCTAACTTTTGCTGATGTATAGCAGTCCTCTGGCCTGTACTGTCCACCACATTTCTCCAGGACGCAGCAGCCGTGCCTCTGTGGGTCTGTGAGCATGCCTCTCGCTGTGCTTACAGTGTGTAGGGGAATTTGACTAGCTGGAGCTAAATTCTTTTAAATTCTTTTATTTTTTTTATTCATTTATTTTAGGCAATGGCACAGATAAGTATAAGGTAGACAATGCAGTCAAGTCATTTGTAGTGCAAAAAGATAAGGACAAAAAGGGTAATGTACAGAATATACTGCATGCAAACAAGTGTAATGTAATGTAATCTTTATTTATATACCGCCTTTTCACTGCACATCGGAGTCTCAAAGCGGTTTACAATTGTTATTTTTGGGAGTGGGGGTGCCAGTACAGGAGGCACATGCCAGACCTATTGTACATATTTTTAGTGGTAGGGGAAACCGGAGCACCCGGAGGAAACCTACGCAGACACGGGGAGAACATGCAAACTCCACTCAGAAAGGCCCTGGTCCAACCGGGTCTCGAACCCAGGACCTTCTTGCTGAGAGGCGAGAGTGCTATCCACTCAGCCACCGTGCCACACCGTGCCACAAGTAAACATTACTTAATTCTGCCTGAAAGGTAGTGGGAAGAAGATACTTATTTAGACCCACAAAAAATTTATTTTTTTATTATTATATGAATATTTACATTTGTTCCGACATGGCTAGCTTCATTCGTAAGAAAGATAGGCGTGTTGCAAAGATGGTTGCTATGGCAAGCTGGAGTTTCTCTTGTAAATATCTAAAAATAAACTAATAGATAGAAGATGTTGAACTGTAAAAATGTGAATGTGACACAAACGGTTACTGAGTTAGAACAGAATACTTTTCATCCATGAAAACGTCTATTGGGCTTCATCAGGCTAGTGGGTTAATGTAGCACACTGTTTATCAGGATATTTTGCTTTCAGAGCGGGAAGATCGACATGTCTTTCTTCACTCACGACTGCTTCCACTTCACCATAAGAGGACACGAGGAGCTGGCCAAAGGACTGTGGAACAATATGGTGAGGGCTTGGGATCAATCCCATGGACACCTATATCTAGCTCCTAAAGTAATATAAGTAGAAAACGTTGATCATACTTTTTCTTCAAGTAGGGCTCCATGTGGTGTCACCATTTTCTCATACCTTAGTGTTGATTTTGTTAACAAAAACTATGACAAAATATTTAGTCAACAAAGGCTTTTGTGGACAAAGTTTTGACGAAAATGAACTGCATTTTTGTCAACAAATATATGACTAGACAAAAATGAGCAATGACAAAAACAGATAGAATGAGCAGGATGAGGACCAGTCACAGTGGGCCTTTGAGTCTCTAAAGGCCCAGATAGTGACGCTGAGGGATGTAAAAATGCAATGTTTTTTTCTTTTGTCGACAGTTTCAGTCTGACGGTGAAAAGACAAAAGTGGATAGTTTCTCTGACCCCATCACTCTGATCTGTCCTCCAGCTGTGAGTGAAGATCAAACATGTTTAGCTTGATGCTATTTATTTTGTCTATTTTACCCGTAGTGTCCGTATTCATTCCTATCAGGAACTTCTGCCTATCTTGCATTAGTGCTCTGTTTTCAAACTCCTTGACAAATCTGTGTTCTCTTTTCCTCTCATTTAGTTCTAGCAATCTTCTATTCATTATTACTACTACTACTACTACAAATACTGCTGCTGCTTCTGTTGCTACTGCTACTAATTCTACTATTACTACTGCAACTACTACAGGTATGCTGCTGCTGCTACTAATACTACCACTGCTGCTACTGTTTCTACTTCTACAAGTACTCCTGCTACTATTACTATTATTACAACTGTCTCTTTATTTTTCTTGCCTCATATATTTCCTTCTTAAAGTAGTTCCCACCCTAAAGTATGTAATGCCATGTTTAAGGGATAGATTAATCACAGTAAAAGTTTCACCTTTGTAATCCAGTCTGTAATCCCGTCCCTTCTCTCATGTCTGTCTCAGGAGCATCCGTACATCTATACTCGGCCCGTGTCCACGCGCTCGGGATCCACCTCTCATCACGACCACAGACTCTTCATCATCCTCCTCTTCATCACTATAACACAACTGTAACAGAGTCTATGTCCCACAAGAAATAAATATATTCAACACGTGATGGATCCATTTTCATTTCAAGTTCAGCATGTGTAGGTTACAAAAGAGACTGTATATAAACAATCACATTTTGCATACATTATTCCTTCCCTTATTGCTTCAATAAAAGTAAATGCATTTAAGAATAAAATAACAAAATGCTCCTTATTTCAGATAAGTGTACATGCCTCATCAGAACCGTTTTTGATTCCACTTGAAAGTCCCAGAGCAGGAGCTAAAGGTCGTCAAAGTCAGTGGCACTCTTCCTTATTGTAGTTTCTATTATGTGTGACTTTAAACATAGACAAAATAAGAACAAGAACTTTAATGGTACCAGGTAATTCAAACAATTCAATTCATTTGTTTGGCCTAAATCATCGCAGTTATCTCGCTGGACATTACAAAAGTCGTTGTTTTGCCAACACAGATCAGAGAATCAAACAGTTCAAACACAGAAAATGCAATGATAAAACAATTGGTCCAAAAGGGGGTGGATGACCAATGTCCATTAATGTCCTTAAACGTCACTGTCCTTAGACCCATGGACATGTGGGCTATGGGTGGGCTATCCAGGACTGAGGCGGCTCCCAGGCCGAGGGACAGCTGAATGGACAGTGAATTTCATTATGATGTGATGAAATCTTTATTATCAGAGATCAAGATGCACAAACAAGAGACCAGAGAATTGCTCCATGAAAAATACAGAGCCTTTTGCCAAAGTCCCAAACAACACAAATGAATTCTACATGCATAAACAGACACAGTGAATGTTTGTTTACGCACATGCACAGTAAACCCTGAGTCTCCACAGGCACAAGCTCTATCTCTCTCTCTACTCACCCCCGTGACGTCAGCGCTTCCCATCCCTCCACACACCGCGCTCTGCTCCGGAGCTCTGCAGACGGAGAGGCGCGGATCGAGAGACCACCGCAGCATCACCGCAAGCCGGCCACAGCGAGAGACGGGAGGCGGCGCGGAGCTCAGCATGCGCCCGTGAGATCCAGCACCAACCCACCCGCGAATCCAGCGCACCACGCCGCCGTTTGCACTGCTCTGACTCGGTCCTTTTCCCCCGTGGTTCGTGCGCACCTGAGTGACAGCATGTACGGCAGAGTGCTCCTCCTGCTTGCGGTCCTGTGCACCAGCGGTAAGACAGACACTCATCACTTTACTGTACTGTATCTGTACAAAGCCATATTCGAAACGCGCAACACGCCACTATCTCTGAAAGACAATCACACACAGATTTACCGGTGGCATTTCCTGAAAGAAGATGTAATTCTTGGGTAGATTCTTGCCAACTGTATAGTGTTGATGATGAGTCATTAGTCCGTTTATTTGTGTTATAATCTCCACCTTTGGGCATTTGAGTATTACACTCTTCCTGGAAACTGTTGGTTTACTTTTGGCTAACTACCACATCCATTATGTAAAGTGTATCCATGCCAATAGTTCCTGGCTGACTGTTTGGTTATATCCCTAGTGTTCATATCCATGTATTTTTGGCCTCTGATATACCTTTGGTACTGGTGAGAATGTGTTTCAGCACCAGGGACAGCGCCACTCCTCCAGTTCCCTGTCACTGAAACAGAAACAGAGCGGCTGCTTTTATTTGATGTATTTGCGCACGTTTGTATCTGTTTCATGTTTGCATTTTCATTTTTGTGTCCTAACTGGTGATTCTCTGATCTGTATTGGTGATTTCAGTGGTTGTGTTAAGTCCTCTGAGATGACTACTGTTGTGATTTAGGGCTATACAAGAATTAATTGTATTGTATTGTATTGTTTCAGGCTGTTCATTGCCGGTGACTTCGGGTCACCTGGAGAGTGAAGATGTCAAGGTAAGAAATGTGTTTGACCGAGTTTGATGCTTGGTTCAGTCCTGGTTTAATAATTATTGGTGCAGTTCTGCTCTAGACCATGTCCATGTCTATTACTTTAGACCTGTGGTTCCCACATAGACTGGTTCCCAACCAGGGTTGAAATTAACATGAAAACATAAAGCTTTTATTTGATGAATGTATATTATGTTGGCATTTTGACCAAATCAATACTTAAGTGTTAGATTTTTCTGAACTATGAGTGATTGGACTGAACCAAAACTGGACCAAAAGTAAGAAGGCTTCTATTGCAGTGGTTAATAAAGACTAGTCGCCTTTATTAACCACTTACAATCAACGTTTTCAAGTTTTGAAAACCATTTCAATACCCCCATGTACCTCTCAGGGTCAGTTGGAAACATTGATTTATACATACATGTAAGGATGCACCGACACTGATACTGGTATTGGGTCGATACCATAGGTTTGTATGGACTTGTCCAAAACAAACACGTAGAAAACACCAACAACTTGATCAAACATCTGAAAACTCACTGCCACACGGAGTATAGCACCTTTAATAGCACAAACTCAACAACATAACATTTGTGGAATATGACAGAGGCTCTTTTAGTTGATTGTTAAAACAAATGCTAAAATGTTTAATTGTTAAAGCAATTTCTTGTTGAAATGAGACATAAAACATTTTAATGTTCAGTTGTATTAGTTTTATAAATTCCCAGTGATAACACAATGCAGTACTTGCATCATGTCCAGCTCCTGCCTCTTGAACACAGAGCATGAAAGAGCTTCCTGTGTTCATTGTTTCAATCTTTTCATATTCAGCGTTTAATATTCCATACAGGGGGGTTTGCAAATCTCAATTCTGCATCTTCTCCCTGCGTCCTTCTCCCCCAAAACAAGCAGCATTGGGAACATAGACTTAGGGAAGTAGAGCTGCACAATTTTGGGGAAGTGACAGTCATTGCAATGGTGGCATACAGCATATTTCTGGGCTCTTTAATTTATTTGACACACTCTGAAGACATTTTGATTTTACGTTGAAAAAAAAGATTTTAAGACTAACGCATTTGAGTAAAATTAAGATTCTGACTTACTTTTCATGATTTTTTTGCAATGTTTGGATAAACAGAGCAAAATTAGCAGAAATTGTCTGTTTTCCCGTTCTGAAGTACGTGACATAGCTCCTGTGATCGGTGCTGTGAAAAAGTGTAGCTATTTCAGATATAGAAGCCGTGAGTCGTGTTTGCTGCAGCTCAAGGACAGACGGAGGCGGAAGGAACATTCTTCTGTGATTCTCACCTCCAGAGCTGTTACACTACGAGTATCAGGCCAATGTTGTTGGGACACAGCGGCTTCAGCGTGATACAAAGCCTCCTCTCAGTCTGGAGCAACTGCAAAATCCTATTTTTGGGTTTAGCCATGTTACAACAATGGTTTCTCATCAAACTCTCCTGCAGTTGTTTTGGCCCATCCATGCTAATATGGGAAAACCTCTGGCACTAACACATCAATCAATCACTTACCTTTTGTCTTTGATTTGTACATGTTCAAAAGGGGAAGTTACTTATAAACCACCACCCACAATAGCACAAAACAAAATTATTTAAACCATTTTCAATCATCTCAAATGGTGAAATCCAACCATCCCTTCTGTGTAATTGCACTGCTGTCAACCTCGTTTGGCTATGATTATGATGTCACAGAGGTTTCAAAAACGGAAAGTTGCTCAGAGCACAACCTAATACTGTAAAGATCCATCATAGTGAGCTGGATTTGAGGTATTTACAAGAGCATTTAGAGGAGAGTGGGTAGAGTTACAAACATCTGCAGGTCTGTTTTGATGAGGTACAATGTAATAAGGTTAATGTAGTTGTGGCTTAATAGATTAGACATTTACTAAATAGACATAAACGCGGACATGGGCACTAAACATTGTTCTAAGATACATAATTGTGGGTCAGACCAGCCCCCTGCACTGCCCCCTGCACTCTGATGGTTGGTCTATTGGAAGGACAAGTAGATTTTGCTGCATGTGTGTCCTGTCAATGGTCAATGCTGAGTATGCATTCTGTGATCTCCTGTAGGTGCTGAAGTGCATCGTGGAAGCATTGGCCGACGTGCTGTCTAAGCCCCACCCCTTGCCTGTCAGTCAAGACTGTCTGATCACGCTCACCACCGGTAACTACACACTTCACCACAACAACACCGGCTCTACACATCACGGAGATCACACTGTTACAACACTCATATCAGCCTCATGTTGCTTCCTGCTGATGTCCAAGATGTCTGTGAATTAAAATAAATGCTCTGTGCTCACTGGTGCATGCTCGCACAATGTAGAACCCAAACATCAGCGGAAGTGACTCATTTTGGCCAGCTTTGGTTCTCCTGCTCTTGCATAGTGGGTGCGGAGGCCTAAACTTCCGCAGGACTAGAGTGACACGAGAGGGTGCCCAAGAGTGTGGATCAGTGGGGGCGTGTCGCAACTCAAAAACGTCCATAAGCACGTAGTAGTAATCTTTAGTAATCTTTATTTATATACCGCCTTTTCACTGCAGATCTGAGTCTCAAAGCGGTTTACAATTGTTAATTTTTTTTGGGCATTTGTCTCTCACTCCACACAGAGATGGGAGCGGGGTCGCCAGTACAGGAGGCGCATACTAGAACTATTGGACATATTTTTAGTGGTAGGGGAAACCGGAGTACCCGGAGGAAACCTACGCAGACACGGGGAGAACATGCAAACTCCACTCAGAAAGGCCCTGGTCCGACCGGGATTCGAACCCAAGACCTTCTTGCTGGGAGGCGAGAGTGCTATCCACTCAGCCACCGTGCGCTGAAACACTTGCAATACCACCCCAGGCCTGTGGGGGTGGACCCAGAAAGATAATTAGTCAATGCTTTTGTATTGTGTCTTCTTTCCTCGTGAAAAGGTCTTTACAGGATGGTCCAAACGTGGTGGCACATTAGTTTCAACGGCGGAGATAGATGTGACTAGGTCTGTTAATATTTACAGCCCATAGTGTGGATTTATAGAAAACTAATGGATTTCAAAATAAGAAAAGTTCAGGATGAAAGTATAGATAGCTAAATAGATTTTAGCTATCTATACTTTCTATCTATACTAGCTTAGGAATTTATTGATCCCCGTGTGAGAATTTCAGGTGTCCACTAGCAACATAAATGCCATCATTCTAAAAGTAGCTAACAAACAAGAATCCCATCAAAATACAACCTTTGTGAAAGCTGTTACTGTAGCTCCCTGTACGTTCCTGGTCAGCTGAGGACGAGCTTTTAGTCAACATTTAGGTCTATGCAGAAAGCCTACAAAGCCTACATTTAGAACAATTTTTCCTCATTTACATTCAATTTAATCACTTGAATAGATTGTTAGATGTCTCCCTGCTCCTGCGTCCTGTCAATCCCAACAGACTGTGTGACTCAGTGATGCAAATACAACCGTTATACATATTAATGACAATAACACAATACAGTACAACATACTGTATGATAGCCCTACCAGCCCTTTGTTGTAAAAATTGTCTCTCGTTCTGTGACAAACTGTTCTTATACGGTCTTAAGATGACGTCTGTCCTGCTACCTGTGCGCTTTGCTTCTTTGTGGTGGAGGTATTGGATTGAAAGCTGGCTCTCCTCTGTGGAAACTGTATTGACTCTCCACACAGACTGAATCAACGCGCTGTCTGCCTCGCTCGAAGAATTGTGTCTCCAATGAACCTGGAGAGAGAGAGCTGTCCACACTGAACAAACAGGAAGGATTGACCTGTTTACCATAAATAAAGAATGTGGATTGGGTGGATTTGGTGGATTGGAAATGATTAAAACTGGACTTGCTGGGCTACTTAATTATCTTTGTATTTTCTGAAAAAACAACGTAAAGTCTTATACAAGTAAAATGTGTGTGTCTTTGTCTGAATCGATTGCATGAGTTCTTTTGCTGAGCATCACAGACTTTAAACTCCCTCCAAAGATTTTCTATGGTGCTTGGATCTGGAGACGGGCTAGGTCACTCCCAGATCTTGAAATGTATCTTACCAAGCGACTCCTTTGTTGTTTGGGATCGTTGTCATGCTGAAAGACCTAGCCTTGTTTCATCTTCATCAGATTGAAAAAATCTGGCCCCATTCATTCTCTCCTTTACACAAAAGGTTCCTTTGTAGAAAAACAGCCCCAAAGCCTGACGTTACCACCCCCATGCCTCATTGTAGCCATGGCGTTCTTTGGATTCTTTCTCCTCCAAACGTGACGAGTTGAGTTTTAACCCAATAGTTAATTTTGTTGTCATCTGACCAGAGTACCCAATCCTCTTCTGGATCATCCAAATGCTCTCTAACAAACTTCAGACTGGCCTGGACATGTTTGGCACTGCATGCAAAGAACAATATAAATAAGATTAAGATTAAGAGTGGGTAAATTTCAGTGTTGCATCACAATAAAAGTAGGAATGAGGAGCACACAGCACAAGATATGTGGACAATAGCTATACTAAGTAAAATAAAACAAAACTTTTTTATGTGTAAATTGGTGCATTTCTAATATTTTTCTGAGCACACACATTTAGGCCTCTGCAGTGTCCCTTTACCTCAGCGTTTCTCCACGTCAGCACTCTGGCTCAACGCTTCACTGGACCACATTACTTGGAGAGGACAATTCACGAGGGGTTCTCTGGAGACACAGAGCCTGCCCTGGCAAAGGAGCCGCTCAATCCATAAAAGCACACAGAGAAATAACTTTTTTTAAGAAACATAACCGAGCTTCTTTCTGCTGATCAACTTCATGATTATATATTCACAACATTTTAAATCTCAATTCTGTTGGGTCTCCGGGCGCTGTACTACGGCGACCACTGCTTCTGACTGAGACTCTAGTGACATTTGCGGGATGGATCAAATGCAGAGGGCAAAGTTCATTACGGGGATAATAAATAGAGTGCACATTTACATTTATAAATCGCTCTTTAAAAAGTCAGTGTGTGAAAGGGAAAACGTTTATTTTGCTCTATCCAAGGTATATAAGGTACAAACCCCTCCCCCTACCTATCGAGTGTAACCCAATTCCAATGGAATCTGTTTATTATTTAACAAGATTGTAATATCCATCTTCATGCGTGTTTTTCTAATCCAGAGAATGTGGCGAACATAAAACACCATGGCAACATTCTGCAGTTTAAACGGACAAAATGAAACAAAGTGATATCTCATTATCTTTCCAGATGAGCGGCTTGTTTCGATCCTTCGACACCAGAACTTCCTGAATGAGCTGCTGGAGATTGCGATGGAAGGTGTGTGCATGTGTTTGTGCGTTTGTGTGTGTGTGTGTGTGTGTGTGTGTGCATGTGTAAAAAAAACTTAGCAAATGTAACATAACTAAATCTGTCATTGTGTTTTTAGGAGGTCAGAAAAGAGCTCAAGACGTCACTGACCTTCCCCAGACTCAAAGTGCGGATGACAGCCCTGGTGAGAAAAAGATTACGGAACTAGATCTGTGCATTTTAGACATCAACAAGAGATCAGAAGCTTCCATCCATCTTGTAAGTAGCGTATAAAAGAGCCTGAAAGCAGAGGTGGTCAAAAATCGACCAATCAGATGTTTGTTACGATACAAAGCTAAACACATCGGGAAAAAATGTCCATATAAGGAAATTGGCTCCAGCTATCTAACCTGCTTCTTCCGCATTTGGTAAACACTATGGGTGGCATCACTTTGTTCACGGCGTCTTTTTACTGTTTATTGGATATAAACCAGGGCACAAACTCACAGACACATTCATATTAAAGGACAACTAAACACCAAACTTTTTTTCCACTTATAAACTGTATAAATACGTTTCTTATAGTGCTTTCTACATGTCCTGACCTTTTTGACATTTTACTGCAAATTAGAAAAAGATGTCTGTGTGGCACCCTCTCTATATTTTTGGTGCCACTGCATTTGAATTTGGTGCCTCGTGGTGAGTTTGGTGTTCTTTTATGTCTAAATTTCCACTTTGTCAACCTAATAAACAGTAACCGGTCATAAGTGAACAAACTAAATGCGAAAGGAACGGGTTTTTTGAGAGTGTAAAAATCTCTCATAATAACAGTAAGGTTATTCAAATATGGTTCACCAACTCAAGCACAGAACAGGCTCTCGAAGTTTTATTGTCCTTGTCTAAATCTGATTTCCACTGGCTATAATTGTATCCAGTCCCTTTACCGTAAGTGCCCGGTGACAGATGATGTCATTCCGCCATAAACATCCCTCTCATGGACTCGGACCAGACCTGTCCCGTGCTTCAATAAACCCCCCTCTAAGGCCCATAGTAATAATCTTCCCCTTGAGCTTGCTGCTAAAATCAATATCCTGTAGTGAAAGAGTGTTGTCCTCAGATCGATCCATGCTGGAGGCTGCTGGGGGGCCGGGGGAGCGATCCATCCGGTCCCAGCTGAGGAGGGGGTCCGTGGGGGAGACAGCGGAGGAGCAGAGGGGGGAGGAGGAGGAGGAGGGAGGGAAGACTGACCAGGCAGGACCACAGCAGAGCCACTGGAGAAGCAAGGAGAAGAAAGGTGAGGGAGAAACTCTGAGAATGAGTTTGCCATATTGTGTATACGCAATTTTGAAATGTGCTGCAAAATTGTTCCTAATCATGAACAGACCTAGCATTGTTTTTAGCTCCCTCCATGCTAATATCATAATATCAGGAACTTCTGCCACAAACATGTACTCACTTTACTTCTGTTTTATTTCTCTTCCAAACACTATGACTCAATTTCATAGTAATACGGGGAACAAAGTATCTATTATCTTTGACAAATCCTCCGACTATGATGTCATGAAAAGAGCTGGTTTCTACCCTTAAAAGACATTGTTTTCCTCCAAATTAGACACATTATGCTTTTTTACAAGTCCTCTTTCACTTAGACTGTGCCTGAGTAGATTTACTCTAGAGTAAATCTAGATTATTTATCCATGTATTTTCCGATGTAAGATTATTTTTTGTTCTAAAACAAAACATTCCCCAATGTCTGAAGCGACACAGCTCCCCTACCGCTCCAAAAACCTCACATTTCCATCTGCAAAATGCATTTCCACAATAATATAAACTCATGTATCTCCTTTAAGACTATAGGATCAGGAGTAGTTAATGTGGTCCTCCTCACGGCTTTGCATGTGGGACTTTGCCGAAGCGGATTTGTGGAAAAAGTGACATTGAGAATTTATCACTGTGGGAGGAGTTTTGGCCTGGCTCCGAGGTTCGAGGCTTTTACATCTGCAGCAAAGCACTCTTTATAATGAAGGTGCGTGAGCCAATGGGACATTGACAACACGCCAAGTCCTTTCTACCCAACACACTCAGTGACAGCTCTCCAGGGGCATTATGCAAAATATGTCTTCAGAATGACATGAAGTTTAACTAGTTTGGACTAGCTGGGGTTGAAACTGTATACTTTACTTATGTATTATTGATGTATAGGGTTTATTTACAGACATACAGAAGGGAAATATTTAGTTCCATCTGTTTTTCATAACTTGCTTCTGAAATTGCCTTTTGAAATTTAATTTTCAAAATTTAAATGTTTCTCTGTCTTTTTTTTTTTCACAATAAAGACTAAGCTATCGTGAAACTCCAGGTGAAACTATAGCGAGCAAAGGCCTGCATCCTCAATAAGATCTACTTTAATCTACTAAGTCCATCTAGTGAAATGTATCCTCTGCATTTGACCAATCCCTTAATGCCACGAAGGCTTCTGTCAGATCCAGTGGACCCATCTCCAGGTGTTGATGCGCTGGGTCAGGACCACAGCTGGAGGATTTTACGTGTGGTGCATGTTTAGTAGATGCAAATTCTTCACTTAAAGGTCCGGGCCAACCTGTGACCTTCAACCTGCTATGATCCCTATTTTTTCTGTTTGTCGCAGTCCGAGCAGAGAACATTTTTGCCGATTTATAACAGACTTATGACCACAGGTGAGAGGGAATGACTTAGTAGTAAATAGTAGTGCTTTGCCCACAGAGATGCTGCTCCCTCTTCACCACAGCAGTCCAATACATCCACCATCGATTAATCTCATGCTTCATCCTTTCCCTCACTGAAAACAAGTCTTTAAGCACATTCATATTTTGGTTCTTTCCACATTTCATATTCCACTAATTGCACAGTGCTGGAGGCTGTTTTCCAGGTCAAATATCAAACCTGTTTAATCCAGTCTACAGTGGAAGTTCCCTTTTTTATACTTTATTCTCACTGGGGCCGCTCATTAATGTAGTGAGTGTTTGGTGTTAGCAGCAGCAGCAGCAGCAGCAGTAATAGCAGTTTTAGCAGTAATGGCAGTAATAGCAGTGATAGCAGTGATAGCAGTGATAGCAGTAGTATTCAATTCAATTCTATCTGTTTATGTATTGCTCTAATTCACAAAAGGACTTGCAAAAATAAAACTAACACAAGTAAACAAGATGGAATAATCAACAACAACATGCTGGAAGAAACATTTATAGCATAATTAACAGTGAAGGTAAGACCTAAGTGCATTTGAGCAAAAATGTCTCCACCATACTACTGGACGGAGCTTCAAATTCACTTCGGTCTGTTTTTTTAAAGGAACAATACTGTCACATACTTTATCCTCCTCTTCTTCTCAACCACAGTGTGAGAAGGTTGGTGTGACCCGTTTAAATATGTGTCTTGTTTTATTTTGTCAGATTCTGAGCACGGTGAAAAAAAAGCGACCATACCACCAAGACAGAAAGAGGAAAAGCAGACACTGAAAGAGGAGAGGAGGAGCGGACTGAAGCTGTGGGACAAACGGGACAAGAGGGCTCAGGTGAAACCCAAGTTGTTTTCATGACATACCAGAATTAATAGTAATGATAGCCACAACTGCCCCACACTGACAGAAGCGAGGCAACCAGAATGTGCCATCGGCCCCAACCATTCAGACACACTAGACTCATTCTTGGCAATGGGGGTGAAGTGTCTTGCCTAATGACACAACGGCAGTTTGGCACTTTACAGCCGCAGCCGCCCCACTGTGGCACCTGCTGTTCCCAGAGGATAAGTGTCTTGCCAAGCACACAACGACAGCAGACATCAGCGGGAGTCGGTGGAGAAAGTCTTGTGGTGGGCTCGAACCCACGACCTTCAGGCTCAAAGGCCAATTTACACATGCCTCTCTTTCTCACACTTTCCACACATCTAAGCACATTGCTGAATTTAGATGCTCTTTTCACAACTTTAAGACTATAAAATGTTTCACAGAGCAGTTATCTTTAAGTCCGGGTTCAAAGCTGTAGTCCAGGATTGAGGCTGTAGATGGTTAAAAAACAAATAATATGTGTCCTTCACGATGAGAGAAAGCACAAGAGTTTTCTGGAAGTATTGTTGTTAATAATCAAAGAAAAACACCTATCGACACCTGCTTTTACCCCATACCCAGGAGAATCACTGTTGAATTGGGCTTGTGTGTGTGTGATTTGTGTGAAGAAGAAGAAGGCCCTCGAGGAGCAGCCGGAGAAGAGGGTGCGAGACGAGACTCCACATCATTCAAAGGAAGTGACGAAACCGGAAGTCAGTCCAGAGGAGGCGGAGCTACAGCTGATCGCATACGAGGACGGGGGCAGCGGCGGCAGCAAGAGGGTGAGAAAGAAAGCTGATGCACCCTGGGCTTAGGGATGCATCCAAAAAACTTGATGATTCCTATGTCTCCTAAATCCTCAACTATTGACCATGTTCTATAGGATTCATCAACTCAGAGTGTGTTTAAATCATAAAACACCATACACTCGCCTGACAATTGACAAGACAAAGCCCATTTGAGCTTTCACTTGACCAAAAGTAATACAGTGGAAAAAAAAAAAAAAAAGTATCCTCTCATCAGACAGATATGCATCCTCAGAAGGACAGATCTATTTTCTCATAAGGTGCTTTCTACATGTACCCATGTATCTGAAAAAAAAAGAAGAAAAAACCCATAGGCCTTATATAAGGAGAGGATCGAGTGCTGTCGTCACCATAGTTTTTGCTAAATGCGGAAGAAATCGTTTTGAAAATAAACTGGAGCCAATTTTCGATTTTTTTTTTTTTGCCGGGGTTAGCTTTACCCCATAACAGGGGCTTGTGACTTGTGACTCATCTGTGGATCTACAACGACAATATCAAAAACAAATAAACACCAGTATCACAGAGAGCGCCAAAACCAAGTATTATAATCCCAAAGCAGTAAGTATGACACAAACGGTTACTGAGCTAGAGCAGTTTACGTTCCAATGTAAGTCAGTAGAGGCCAGTGCGAGTTGGAGAAAAACGTTGTCCATGAGCACTTCCCTATTGGGCTTAATTTACCTAGTGGGTTTGCATGGTCCATGTATGTTATTTCCACTGCTGATTGGTAACTATGGCTACCAATAACATTTGCATAAAGTTGGCTTCACATAGTCGTAAAGACAGTGATGTGACTATATTACTATAAAGGCAGACAAAGGGGAAAAAAGTGTATAGAAAGGGATGGGGTGCCGAGTTTCCCTGATAATATCGTGGATGGAGCTGAAAACTACTCCAGGTCTGTTTTTGATGAGGAGCAATGTTGCAATTGTCAAAAGATGATTAAAAGATCACATATTGTTCAAATGTCTTACCATGAATATGTTCCTATAATATACATGTGGAGCCATTAATGCAGTCCCCATAAACGATAAACCTGAACATTCCCCCTTTTTTTTCTCTGCTCATTTGTTCCCAGGAGACTGAGGTGGAGAGTTTGGAAACCATCGAGTCGCAGCTGGAGAATGTGGCTCAGAAACTGCACCAGCTGAGACGAGCCGAGAGGGGGCAGCAGAGGGCCTGACCGCTGTTCTATGAGTGGTCCACAGAGGGCAGCAGAGAGCCTGACCGCTGCTCTGTGTGTGAGGAGTGAACTACAGGAGCCTCATCTTTGATCCCAAACTCCCTGATGCCACGCTCAGGTCACTTTGCTTTGGGGCCACTGTAGAGCCATTTTACATCACAAAGATTCGACCAATACTATACGATACATAAATAGTTCAATTCGATATGATTTGATCTGACACAATACATTTAGCATATCTCAAAGGCAAAACAAAAATCTTTCGACCTCCCCACTTTGAGAATATTAATGAAAATGTATCTTGGTAAAGTGGCTCTATTCACTCCTGTGTCCAATTCTGTCTTAAATTTGCACAAATGTTATGAGTTTAGCTTCTTTCTTACACCCGCTCTTTTATGTGCAAAGGAAAACTGCAAAATATTGTGCTAATGCAGTGTTTTTCAAACCTTTATTTTTCCCACATCCACAACCTCCCCTCTCCAACCATTGCATCATACTGTTTAAATATTTGCAATAAGTTTTCAGGGTTAGGACGAGTTAATCTGGTTGCAAGATCTAGGCTTTGGGGATGCTATGCTAATCAGGTCTTACAGCACATTAGCATTGGGAAATATCATTCCACATTAATTTTACAGTTAAAAGTGCGAAGTGCGTTCAGTCCACTTGCATCACTTCATTTGTTATTTCTGTTTTAGTTCCTTCTCGCAGCCTGTCACTGGTTGCTATAGTGATCACACATGGAGAAGTATTTTTGGCAATAAAAAACCCTGGAATCCAATCAAGATAATGTGTTACATTTATCACAGGAGAGTAGTAATGATAAATTCAAATCTCAAAAATAATCTTCCAAAATTGCCATTCTTGTTTCTTACCAAAAGCCCCATTTCCACCAGTCCTGCTCTACTCTACTCTTGAGGTTAGTGTAGAACTATGTGGTCAGCCAGGCACATAGAGACAGTCTATGAAACCCTGGGTCGCCCTTCTCTTCCACACTGAAGCGACATAGACTGATGTCAGAACGATTCGACATCTAACTTTTCTTGTGACCGCTCAAATATCGCAGTAATATGTACAGCAGCAAAAGAAAACTGTTATCTGTGCCTTTGCCTACATGTGGGACAGATGAAGGTTATAGAACTACACAAAAGTCACACAAGGGATAATACATTTCTATATCGCCTTAACTTATAGTCTGTAGCAATCCCCTCTGGTACGGGCTGAACTGCAACTAATTTTGACCAACTTCAGATTTTTGGTGAAAGCCTAAAGGTGGTTTTGATCTATTTATTTGAAATTTCTAGTCCAAGCAACACACCAACCTTTCCCTCTGCTGCCAAGAAGGGAAGTTTGACTCTTGATGCAAAATGAGACCGAGTCAGAATAATTCTTGCCCAAACATGTAAGACCATCCAACCACAAGATTACAATGTGTGTGTGTGGGAAGTGAATAACCATGACCCTAATCCTAAACCAGAGCGTTTCCATAACCCCCTGCCACACAAGCAGGCCGAGTAGAGCCGAGTCGACCTGTGCAATGGGGGCTTCTGTTGAGTCTGAATTACCGTATTTTCCGGACTATAAGCCGCACCTGAATATAAGCCGCACCTGAATATAAGCCGCACCTATCACACATTGTAATATTGAAAAATGTAGCTCAAACCTGTTCATCATGTCTTATTTTTTACTGTGAGTTATAAAAGTAAGAGTAAGAAGTGAATCATCGGCTGTTCTTAATCTTTCAGTGTGAAGCAGGTAAGGAGCAACATCTACTGGCCTCTTTTCACTTTCATGTCTATAGAAAGAACCAAAATGTATTATATGAGATATTTACACAAAGATATTATAAGTGATGACTTTTCAACTACTCATCAATTCTGTTGGTTGACTGTTACCTGGCAAAATGCTTGTGGCGCCACAGAAAAAAATAATAATTTAAGCCACACCTTACTATAAGCTGCAGCCTTCTAAATGCAGGAAAAATGCTGCGGCTTATAGTCCGGAAAATACGGTAACCATTTAGCATAGCATTCAAATGGAGTTTATTTTAGGGGGATCATTTTGAATATTGTATAAATCACAAATACTAATAAAAATCAACACATGTCAATAGTTTAAGCAGTCACATTAACGGAATGTGAAGTCCATTCTGGGATATTGCTTCCTACAGGTCTTTCTAGTCGCTTCCTTAGACGGTCATGCAGTGAAAGTCTTAGATCTCAAGAGGCTGGTTTTTCGAGTTGTATGTATATAATTAATAAAATAAAGCTTTTGTTTTGTCAGGAAATGTGTCTTTGTTGCATTGGAAATATCGGTTGTTGGTTACAGTATGATTTTGTGTTAAGCAAAGCAAACATGAGTCATCTGCTCCCACACACCACAGCCACTCTGGATTTCAGAAAGGAAGGGATTGTTTTTTGATAATCAGAGATGAGCAGTGAAAAAGGCCAAAGCTAGTCAAGAGATTTGACTTTGATTTGATTGGGTTGGTAAGTTGGTTGGTATCCTTTTTTTTAGGCCTACTCGGCTCATTGACAGCTTAATGTGAGTGTTTTACATATATATAAATACAATTCCACAGTGATAGCTGATGATGGTTGTTTGTAAACATGTAAATATCAGTCTTCTCTTCATGGACCTATCCCCAGCTCTGCTCATGAGCTTTGGAACCCAGACAATGAGGATACAATAGAGATATCTCACGTGACGTCACGATGCCTCGAACTCGCGGGGCATCCGCCATACTGGAGGACAAGCAAACGCTGTATGATAGTGGCGTGCACCCGGGACCGCATACACATGTTCTAAATGTTTGCCGTTTTTGGCTGCAGCAAAAGGAGAGACAGGGAAAATAAGTTGTGTTACCGACTGCCAGCCGTCCTTACTTCACACGGCTCAAAAACAGAAGAAATCTCAAAGAAACGAGAGAGAAATGGCACAACCATACGCAACAACAAAAAACTAATAGCCCCCAGAGCGCCCGAATATGCTCGGATCATTTCATTTCTGCTAAGTGAAATCAATTTGATGGCGGATTTAGTGTTATTCCGAAACAAACAGAAGTTTAAGGATAAAACATATCTGTCTGACTGCAACGTGGGGTTGCTCCATAGACTGTAGCTTAGCTTGTCGCATAGCTGTTATATATTTGGTCTCACACAGGACCTCACCCGGTTCACAGGGTATCTGACTTACCGAAGGCCAGCAGACATGTGAACGACTGAGCCGTGCTCCAGGGTGCCCCGTACTAGTATTTATTAATAAAATATACGGCTCCTCACAGTAGACGCAGAAAGCTCCATTGATTTGAATGTAATCTCATTATTTCCACTGCAGTGTAGCCACACATAGATCCATGGTGTAACAATAAACACATTAAATGTTAATCGGAGAATACATTATACATATACATTCTTAATACACGTGCACAGAGGTTTTTAGAATTTTCTGTTCACGTTTTTATGAAAAAACACTGTTTTAATGCGACAATATGCGACCGCGGTAAACCTGGATGTAACAATAAACATTAATAATACATTTTAGGACGCATTTTCAGAGGATCTGATTCATGACTTTAGGTTGAGTATATATTTGGGTCACTAACTGCTGAAGTTTCAAATTCTCTGTTCAGTTTTCATGTAGTTCGAGAGAGTTCTAGTTTTGAATGTCCAGTTATAGATAGCTAGCAGGGCTGTTACTCGCTGAGGTTGTCCTCCAGTATGGCTGCCGTGGCTGCTAGTCACGTGACCGTAGGATCCCTCTATTGGTTGTAATACATTGTGATAAATAAATATCTCCAGGTCTGATTGAAGAACACTGGGCCTCATTCACGAACGGTTCTTAGGAACAGATTTGTACGTAAATCCTACTTACGCGGTTTTTACGAAGAAAGTGGCATTCACGAATATTTCTCGTAACCAGAAATTCTCTTGGGCAAGTACAAATCCTACGAGTCCTCAGGAGCACTCGTACGCATTCAGTGCCGACATGTTCACAGCCGGGGTTGTCCTCTTTGGTGAAGTTGAATAAAAATACAACATTCCAGTGATATGTCCGTCATATCGATGTATGTATTTATTTATTTGTAGTAATCTTTATTAGTAATCTTTATTTATATACCGCCTTTTTCACTGCAGATCTGGCCTACTTTTTAATTCATTTTGAAATGAAATGTGCCAACGCTTTATCAAATACATTGGAAATCTTGCCGTGTATTAGTGACCCCTTCCTATTTATAGGGGGCATTTCTTTATCCACGGGCCACAGAACAACGGCATATATACTGCTGCTGCAGGAGGCTGCGGGGTCCGCGCTGAGTCTCTGCACTGGTCTCTCCCATGGATCTATACGGGTCTGCGCTGGTCTCTCCCATGGATCTATACGGGTCTGCGCTGGTCTCTCCCATGGATCTATACGGGTCTGCGCTGGTCTCTCCCATGGATCTATACGGGTCTGCGCTGGTCTCTCCCATGGAGCTATACTGGTCTGCACTGGTCTCTCCCATGGATCAAGACGGGTCTGCACTGGTCTCTCCCATATACGGGTCTGCACTGGTCTCTCCATATGGGTCCGTGCTGCATGCTCCTGGATCCATACGGGTCCGCGCTGGTCTCTCAAGTCTGGTCTATGCGGTCTATCTTCGGTCCGCGCTGGTCTCTGCGCACCAGTCTCTCCAGTCAGGTGTCTCCAGTCTATGCGGTCTCTCCTATAGGTCCGCGCTGGTTTCTGTGTGCTGGTCACTCCAGTCTCTCCTCGGGTTCTGCATTGGTCTCAGCGCTGGTCCGCGCTGGATCTCATCTCATATTCTTAGATCCAGGTTGCTTTAGGCCTGTTGCCAAAATATTTTGAGATTAATCTCAAAAGAACATTTTGAGATTCATCTTTAAAAATGTTGGGAAGACTGTCAAATACGTGAAAAAGATTGGACCCTCGTGGATGTGGATATGGACATTAACGTACAATTCAGCCTGAGTATAGTTAAAATAATAGGACCACAGATAATGTGTGACATTTTGACGCGTTGTCCTGCTCAGGTGAATCCAGAAATAGTTTACTTTATTTCAAGACTCCAGGAAGACAATGGGCCTCATTCACGAACGGTTCTTAGGAACAGATTTGTACGTAAATCCTACTTACGCGGTTTTTACGAAGAAAGTGGCATTCACGAATATTTCTCGTAACCAGAATTTCTCTTGGGCAAGTACAAATCCTACGAGTCCTCAGGAGCACTCGTACGCATTCAGTGCCGACATGTTCACACGCCGGGGTTGTCCTCTTTGGTGAAGTTGAATAAAAATACAACATTCCAGTGATATGTCCGTCATATCGATGTATGTATTTATTTATTTGTAGTAATCTTTATTAGTAATCTTTATTTATATACCGCCTTTTTCACTGCAGATCTGGCCTACTTTTTAATTCATTTTGAAATGAAATGTGCCAACGCTTTATCAAATACATTGGAAATCTTGCCGTGTATTAGTGACCCCTTCCTATTTATAGGGGGCATTTCTTTATCCACGGGCCACAGAACACCGGCATATATACTGCTGCTGCAGGAGGTTACTGGGTCCGCGCTGAGTCTCTGCGCTGGTCTCTCCCATGGATCTATACTGGTCTGCACTGGTCTCTCCCATATACGGCTCTGCACTGGTCTCTCTCCATACGGGTCCGTGCTGCATGCTCTCCATACGGGTCCGCGCTGGTCTCTCAAGTCTGGTCTATGCGGTCTATCTTCGGTCCGCGCTGGTCTCTGCGCACCGGTCTCTCCAGTCAGGTCACTCCAGTCTATGCGGTCTCTCCTATAGGTCCGCGCTGGTTTCTGTGTGCTGGTCACTCCAGTCTCTCCTCGGGTCTGCATTGGTCTCAGCGCTGGTCCGCGCTGGATCTCCTCCCAGGGTCCAAAATATTTTGAGATTAATCTCAAAACATTTTGAGATTCATCTTTAAAATAATACATAATATATTTTTAAATTAAGCTCATAACATTTTGAGATTAATCTCATCATATTCTTAGATTAATCTCATAATTTTGCTAGTTCGACTTTATTATCATAATATTTCGACTTTTAAGTCAACATTTTATAACTTTATTCTCAGTCTGGTAAAAGAAGTGTAACTAGTTGCTTTAGGCCTGTTGCTGTTTCCTCTGCCGTCTGCACACGGCCCTGCAGTCCCTTATATGGGCATTAGTGGGCGGTTACTTATGCTAAGTACCTATGCTAATGAAGCACCTGGCACGCGCGCTGTATTTACGAGGAAATGGGATTCATCAATCTGAGAGAACAGCTGCGAACAATTCAGCGGCTTACGAGTGCGTTGATGAATCCCACGTGGGGACTTCTTAGAAATCTACTTAAGGACAACTTGAGAAGAAAGTTGAGTAGTTTCTTACGTAGTTATTCGTGAATGAGGCCCAATGTTCCCAGCACAATAGAATCTGTAAAAAAAGATCCCTCAGGAGCTGTCAGGGAGCCTGGATAAACATGATTCAGAAAGTCACTGCAGAGGGCGACATCAGACCATGGGGCTTCTTCTGCAAAAGCAACAGCCTGGTCTAGACCATGGTTTTCAAAGTGGGGGCCACAAGACCTTAACTATGGGTTGCATGATGATTTTTAGATGCAATGAGGCTACAGTAATACATCATTATTTGTCTGGAAGGGGGACCAATGGTTTTGACAGTTCCCCTTTCACAGCTGAGGAACAGTTACCTCAAAATCCAATGTAGGTACCTGCAACAAAGTATAAAGCTCCAGGAGAACACATGTGAAATCACAATTCACTTTTTAATTCTTTTGATTATATTTCATGAGTCAGTTTGGGATTCAAACAAGTCCTGATTCCACATTTTTGATTTGACTGAACTGAGAGGGATTCTTCTTTATTTTGATCTTTCACGTTTCCTGGAGGTTATATCTGATTAATTATCTGACAAAAAGGTAATATCAGTGCATTTGACCCATCCTTGAAAACTACTTGGTCTGAAGCACTGGTTGCTACATGTCAGTGACTGGAGAAAAACCATGCCTAACCCTAACCCTAACCCAGAATCGATCGACCACACAACCGTCTGAAGCATTCTCTATCCTCGCTTTAAGTGCGTGTTCACAATCCTGACTTGTACTTGTCCTTGAGGAGGGAGAGAATGTTCCATCATGTGATTTGAACTTTTTCTCCAACAAAACGTTATATATTTTGTCTATGCCAGGGAGTAAAACTGTGAACATCAAAATTGACAAAACTGGGAAAATTATTCATGTCTCACTATAGTTCCTCGCTGGTTTTCACATGCACATATTTTTGTCCTCTTTAACATTTTTAGATAAGCATTTTCAGAGAGAAAAGTGAACAAGAGAGGACCACATTCACTCAGCAAATCCACTCTCAGCCTAAAGAGTCAAATAGTGACTCACAGGGCTCTTTCTCACGAGTATGCCAAGAAGAGCGTTCATTAGAAAAAGTTGGATACCCCAGCTTCAATGTGCTGTTATTAGTTTAATCAACGTAAAATCAGACCAGCGAGTCAAGTTTGTATAAAAATATAACCTTTTATTTCCATCTACAAACTGAAACATGTAACATCTTTGTCACATTTCTCAAAAACACATTGTACAAAACACACATGGTACATTTACGGAGCACAGGACAAATTTAAATTAACTTAAACTGTACAAATATTTACAGCATTTACAACAAAGGAACGAACACGCATAATTCTTCCAGTCAATAAATCTAAATCAGTTCAGTGCCGTGGCAGAAATCCCACTGTGTTATTTTGAAAGCTGCTTTTTCACATCCAAACGTGGTTTAGGACAGGTCATTAGTTGTGGAAATTAAATTTTTATAAAGCTTTTTCTTTTTTGGAGGTATATCTTTACAAAAAAAAAGTTGTCCCGGAAAAACATTTGGTTCAAACAAGGTCTAAACCAGGTCTAAAATACATAAAGAGGCTTGAACCGGTCATTTTAACCGAGAGTGGTCCTTGCCGAGGACTAAACCAGGTCTAGATTTTGGGTTAACCAGTCAAAAATAAGCTAAGAATATTACAAAAACATCAAAGAATTTCCCTGGATAAAGTCTAAAACGGATCATAATCCTGTTCAGAACCAGGTATGAATCAGGGCTAAGGAACAAAACCATTAAATAATCCAAACTTAAATAAAGTCTAAAGCATTTCCCAGCCTAGCCTAAGTCTATCCCAGGTCTAAAGCCGGTCTAAGGCAGGTCTGTCCACCTCACGCACCCACAAAGCATACATTCAGAGCCCGACATATACGTGGACACTGGGCCCATTGATGGCTGTTTGCGCCTTCTCTGCAGCTGCTTTCAATTTACACTTTACAGTCTGCAAACGAAAGGGAGCGGCTGTTTTCGGACACCTCCTTCACCCAGGGTCATGGTTTAGATAAGGTTTCAAAAGCAAAAAAACCACCCTCACTTCACTGCAAAAAAGTCAACACGACCACCGGTTCAAATTACTCAAGAATGTGGAGTGGTCAATGGATTCTTTGCTTTTCCAGTCAGTGAATTGAGACTGTTTTTCTTGTTTTCTGTGCAATGTTTTGGCAAATAGCTTCAGTAATCAAGTCAAAGCCACTGAATTCCAGTCATTTAAACAGTCGGGCTTCTCATTCCTGCAGTGTTCAAATGGACGGGTTTGTTATAACGGCAGTAGGTTGCTCAAAAGTCAAATAGTGCAGAGTCTTTTGGAGCTGCCACGCAACTCTCTGTCTGAGATTTTGGCTGGAAAAACTCCAGCTGTAAAAAAAAAAAAAATACACTTAAATAAAGCGCTTTGGCAGTTGTCACACTTTATAGGCAGCAAAAAAATTAACGTTAAAATGACTTGAACTAAGAATGTTGAATGATTTTGACTAGTCATTTCACATTTTTATTTCACTATGATTTTGTCCAATAGAATGGGCTAATATATCTTCTAAATGGTATGCAGACTGGTTGAATTCAAAAAGATTTCAGATAACTAAATGAACGTGTCAGAAATATTGAAATATCAATGTCCCTATGAAGCCAGAATAGTCAAAAAATGCAAGATTATTCCAGATTTCAAGTCATTTTAACCCAAAAATACTGGGGAAAAAATTGCATCTTGCTTTTGTTGTGTTTTTTCGTACTTAACAACAAAAAACTCTTAACTCACCAGATGTCCTTTTTTTTGCTGTGCATTTGCTGCTAAAATTGTCTTAACTGCAACGAAATGAGAAAAATAACTTAATATTTGCTCGGTGTAATAAACGTTATTTTTTGCAGTGCATCTAGTCTTGGTGCGACTTGGTGCCGTGTGCAAAGCCGCTATGGCGTTGGTAAGTGTGACATCATTTCTCTCGTGATCCACAGAATCACTTAACAGCCCTGTAGCCCACGAGATGTGTCTTGTTATTTTTTTGTATATGTTTCAAGTCTTAAGCTGCCCCTGTTGTCTCTGTTTGTAACTTCTCACGCCATATCGCCGATCATCTTCTTGTAATACATGGACTCGAAGATGTCGTTCTCGCCGGGGCAGTTGTGGTGGCAGGCGCACGACTTGATGAACATCATGTGCTTTTTCATGACCTGGCCGTCGTGGCACTTGAACTCCATGGGCAGGGTGGTGGTCCGGTGGGGGGTGCAGCAGCGTCCGTCCAGGCACACCCCGCAGAACTTGGGACGGTAGGATTTGGTCGTGGTGCAGCCGGAGATCTCGAACTTCATGGGTTTGGAGACTCGCGGTGTACGAATGCACTTCTTGCCTTTCTGTGGGTGAAAAGGAGAAGGAAAATGAATGGATTGGCATTTTTTAAGTTGTGTGGCTACTATATTACATAATGATTTGATTTCGTCATATTAGATTATGGCTGCATCCAAATTCATAATAACACCTCCTTCCTTAACCTTCCTTGTCATTCGTTCCCTTGATGGCATTAAAGTTTGAAAGATGCAATCAGCAACACCTTGATATATAAACATTAATAAATTATGAATGATTGGTTGTGTGAAAGAGTTAGGAACTAAATTGAAATGTTTCATACTTCTGACAAGACTACAACATCAAAAATCTCTTCAAGTTGAATTCACTATGAGTTGGCCTGAGTTAGCCACACTATGAGCTAGCCCTATAGTGTTGTTCCTCAGTGTGTTCCGCCCACTCACCCTGATGCTCTGCTCCATCTGGGACTCGCAGGGCCGCACCATGCACAGTCGGGTTTGCTTCTCCAGGCGGCAGTCGCGGTTGTCGTTGGTCACTCGGGTTGAGATGCCCAGGCCGCAGCTCTTGGAACAGGCACTCCATTCGGTGGTCTGGACCAGGCAGTTCTCCCGCATCAACGAGAAGTCTGGGCCATAAGTCTCCTCCTGACGGTAAGCTGCGAAAAGAGAGAAAAGCAATAAATTAGTGATTTAAAATAAGGATCAACATTTTCTTTTAGCGTTTTGATGTCACAATGATACAGTGTGGCTGCAATACTTAAAACACTCATGTATTGATTGACAGATGTGTGGTTTGGAATGTATTAAATGCAACTTCATATTGTTGAGTTGAGAGAGGTAGATGTGCCTGTGTTGGTCAAATCACCAACTAAACATTTTTTTTTTTTTATCAAGATTTGCAATAAACACATTTTACATTTTTTTGCAGTATATTTATAAAACTATAATGTACTGATAACTCAACTCATCTCAACTTCAAGTGATTTTCCAACTTTTTGTGCAACCTACTTCTTCTACTACTACATAATGGCCACTCACCAGGCAGCACCGATCCCATGAAGGGGTCCAGGTACTTGGGAGTATCGCAGACCCACTCCTCACAGCACTTCCCAGGGACTTTGATGCGCCTGGGCATGGGGCAGTCCGGACTGGGCAGGCGGACGTCCATGGAGCACAGGGGGACACAGCCAACAGCGCCATCTAGACATGTGCATTGGTATTTACAGCTGCTCTGGAAGCTCTCGCCGCTCTTGTACACCATGCCGTTGAAGACGCACGTGGCTCCATCTCGAGCTGAAAAAAATAAATCAAATCAAATCAGTTAAAATACAAATCCAACAATTCAAACAATTATTGGTCAAAATAGAAGGATCATTCATCAAATAGCCAAGGAAACGAGCTTGAATTTAGATTTGATGAACAAGATTGGGCTGAGGTTGTGGTTTTGTGTTAAAGGTATATAGGAGGATTTTCTACTTCTGGGTGGATCATCAAGACTATTGGTCGTCCTAGTTGTAAATCATTCTGGTAATACGTGCTTGTCAAATTTGACCAGAGAGGTTTTTCAAAAAGTGGAGAGGGCGGTTCTTTCCTAAATTTTGGAAAAATCCTCCAATATACCCTTAAGCAAATGGATCTATATGAGTTGAACCAATATGATAATGTAAATTCCCTAAATTAAGGGTTTAAAAGGGGCTCATAGTTCACCACAGTGTAACAAGTTTGAAAACCAAGCATTTAAACAGAAAGGGTGGGGGGAGGTGTTGGTGCCAGCTTAAAAATGAGTAAGTACACTTTTCAAGATTATGCCTATTTTTATTACCTGGGACATAACTGTTGTATTTACCCAGTCTCTGTAACCCAGATGTAACATATTTATCCATACATATAATAAGGCATCTCTTACCGGTGCAGACGCCGATCCTCCTGTTGATGGGTGCTCCAAAGTCACAGTAGAGGCCTTTGTGTGGGTCGCAGACGTCTTTTTCCGTGCACAGTTCTCCCATTTGTTTGGCACAGACACGACAGCATCCGCACCCGTCCAGGACCAGGCTGACGCCCAGAGGACACTGGGGGGGCGTGGATGGGCACAAGCACTGACCGCTGCACTCCTGGCCGGCAGCCTGACAGCAAGACAGAGAAAAATATAGCTTAAAACTGGCCCTTAAACAGGATAGGATGTGGATGAACATGGAAAAATGGATTATGAGATGACTAGATTGCAGCAACACTCTCAACAAGTGCTAGAAATGGGAAACTGCAATCTGCCCATGCTAAATACCATGTAGGTACATAGATGTAAAGACTGAAGAAATTGCACCAACATGAATGTATAAGCAGAAGCACAGTCTGATGATTTGTCATTGCTTGAAAACAGAGCTTTTGAACTGAAGGGTTGGGGGGACGTGTTGCCAGAAAGCTTGGATGGAGCAAGTCCAAGTCCGGTTTTGGTGAGGAAAAGTGTTGCAAAATACTCCAAAAATATCATTTTGCATAATAAATCCCATTTGAAGCTGTGTAACTCATACAGTGGTGGTATTCTGTTTACTGATATTTGATTTTGACCACATTTGACTGATTATATGTCTTCTTACAGCCAACAAAGCTGTTTTATAATGATATCACAATTTGTATTTTGATTCTCAATGTAGTTATTAGTAATTTGATTTCTACAGAGGTGAGCAAGCTATTTTTATTGCTATTTTTTGCCCAAGTCTGCTGTCCATTTGTCCCAGCTTGTGTCTTGTATTGACGATTTAAAAATTGGATATTAAGTCCTTGTCCTGAATTTGATAAGAGAAAATTCACATACGGAAAACTGAAAAGATGCTGCCCGTCCCTCACTCAGACTCAAAATGACAAACAGATGTATAACAGACACATATCAAGGTAAATCTTTTGAATCCAACTCACCAGATGGGACAGAGCCATGCAGAGGAGCGGCAGTAGAATTCTCACGTTGGCGATCATTGCGGCAAAATTCAGTAAAATCTCGAAACAAAAAAGTAAGTCAGAGCAAGTGGGGATTCTTGTCTCTCGTCGTCGTGTTTTAAGTCTTATGGAAAAGCCAGAGTAGAAGCTTCTGTGGAGCTGGTTCTGAGCTGTAAGGCGAAGGTCCCGGGCTTTTATAGGCGCTCGTCTCGTGGAGGTGCCTGCCCCGGATAAACATGGACATAGTTGGCATTCTTTCCTGGCTTCGTGACCCTATCCCTCCAGACGGCACACATTCCAGCTGTCTGAAAGAAACAGCAGCCCACCAGACCCACCCCCCGAACCCGTAATGTACTCCCCTCATTTCCCGAAGACGAACGTATTGAGGTATAGGCTGAATTATTAAAGAAGACATGTTGTGCTGCCAAATAGACTGTTGGGAGATTTTTTACCATGTGATGACATTGTACCTCAACATTGTGTCCATCCACATGCTAAAATCCAAAACAGACTTAAACGCATTCTCCCTCCCCTTCTTTCTGAATGCTCTGTTTTCAAACTTGTTACGCTAAGATACATCCACAGATTATGATGTCATGACCATAGTTGTCTACCGTTTAAACCAAACGTATTACCCTCGGACGGTTTTCTGCATTCTTTATAATGTGTCCCAATGTATTTCTATCACCAGATGCAAGAGTTAGCACCTTATAGTCGTATTTGAAAACATTTTTCATGACCAAATTTAGAGGTAAAACTCCAGCAGTAAAGAAAAAATGTCATGTATTATTGTTGACCAAAAATGTAAATGAGACTATTTCCTTTGTCGTTTCATGTTTTATAATGTGAAATAATATCTGAAGTACATACTGATTAAACATGGTTACCTTTTGAAATTTTAATCACATTGAAATTTGTAAACTGAATTATTATTGAATGTCATGCAAAGATTTTTTAAACGTTCTTTTTCATAGTTACAATTTACAAATGGATAAATTCATTTAAAATTCTAAATCTTCAGACACAAAAAATCTTCCATAAAAAGCTCCCACCAGAGGGAGACGTTGAATTTGTACAAGCACACATGAGATTGCAGAAACGTGCAGAAAAAACGTGCAGAAACCTGAGAAATGACCAACACTAGATTATGGACAGCACTTCTGTCTGTTTGGGCAATACTTCCGTCTGAGTGTGATGTCATAGTGGTATCAATGACATCACACTATTACAGGACTGAGGCAAGAGCCAGAAGGGGTGGAGTCACATGTTTGTTGTTTTAACCTATGTTAAAATGGCGAGTTACACTGGGACAATAGTGGGAAAGGTTGACGTGTTGTTTGGACCAATGTTGGCTTTTCGCCACTGGGAAGTCAGGAACGGGGCAAAATAAAAGGGTCAAAACAAACTTCTGACTTTCAAAACATGCCAATGGGACTAAGGATTGAAAATAGCCTGCAAAGCAAACTCTAGTACATTTATACGTAGGAAAACTGTCCCAATTTGGAAAAATATGTAATTAAAAAATCAAAATAAGTAACTAATTCAAGCTGGGGTATGTAACTATCAAACCACAGCAATACAACTGTTATAAAACCAATCTAACTTGTACCTGGCTCAAAAACATCTCAGGTCCAGAGGGAATTTCATTATGATGGACAATAGCAAATGTATCATCCACGTGGAGTAATGCACAGAGTTGCGTTTCTAAATCATTTTTAACATATCCAAATTATTTTCACCTTAAATCCCGAAGTATTGTCTCGAGATCATGTCTAACGAACCAAATGAACGCAGAAAAGTGGAAGTGTCCGGTGTCTTTGAAGCCGGACCCCACACTGTGAATTCCTGTTCTCTGACTTCACACTCCAACAGCCGGGGCCTATAAATATTATTTTTAAAAAGACTAAAGAGGCATTGGTGACATGATTCAAACGGAGAATGCCGGAGCTGGTTACGGTAAAACTCTGTTCAAACAACAATCCCACGTGTTCACATGCCAATAAAGCTATATCGAGCATACGTTATTTTGAGAAGGCTCGACAAGTTCCATTTGAACCTCATTTATTTTTTAATATTATCAAAACTGTGATTTTTGTGCAGCACTGTGGCAGAGTAGCCTGGTCGTACCACACCATAGTACAAATTATATTTCGTACTAAGGTCTGGAGGTGCTCCATTGGGCTCTGTTAACAGGTGGGAGGGGTTAACTCCTTTTGCAAATTGAAACGATTGGATCTGAGTTTACCGTGACGTATGTAATTGTGACAATTGTGTTGTTAGCATTAGCATTTAGCCTTGCCATCTCCTTTGCCACTAATGGAGCCCGTGGGGAGTAGTGCCACAATCTTTGCCAGCAATGACTTTTGATATACATGCTCCGGCTTCAATTTATTGATAGAACCAGACTACTTGACTATCGCACAGGGATCAGACCCAGATGTTACATGCAGGGAAATGATTATTGACCGGCGTGTACGAATGGTTAAGGCCAGGCAGAGTGGTTAGTGGTCCTGGGTTAAAAATTCCGGTCGAAACAGAGTTTGTATGTTCTCCCTGTTGCTGTTCTCCTCCAGTTGCTCTGGTTTCCTCTGGGTGCTCCGGTTTCCCTACCATAGGGAAAATCTTCATAGGTTCCGTGGCGTTGCACCGTCCACTAGACTCATTTACAAAATGGTGAAAATGGTAAACTTGTGTTATTGTTATTGTGTTACTAAGTTATTTGAAGTGTCTATGTATTGCAATTTCTGAGATTCAGATGATTGAACAATATGAATAATTATTTTTACTTGCACTATTTATTATTTATAGTATTGATTTCTTATTTTTTATTTACACTAGAATGTGCCACAATTTTATCAAAATATATATTCTGTAATTTACTTATGAGCTAAGTTTTGCGTCCCAAATCTTCTTAAAGCTGGGGTATCTAACTTTCAAACCACAACTACTAAACTCTACTACAAATCTATCTATCTTGTTCCTGGCTCTAAAATAACTCCTTGTGCACATTTTCTAATAAGCTTAAAGTCAGGTAACCCAGCTTTAAGTCTATGGAGTGACTGGAGGGCTCTTCTCTGCTCCTGTGCTCATGTCTGGGAGACGAGAACATTCTTTGGCGCTGATCTCAGAGGGTTTGGATCCTAAAACCACAGAACCACTGAACACACTGTACGGACGACCTCCAGTGGAAACAGCTGTAGTGAACATTATGTCCTGCTACTCATCCCACTACATCTGCTGCTAATACTGATACTACTACTACTACTACTACTACTACGACTACTATTACTTCTACTACTACTTCTACTGGTCCTACTACTACTACTACTACTGATGCTACAACTACTACTACTACTACTGGTCCTACTACTACTACAGGTCCCACTACCACTACTGATGCTACAACCACTACTACTGCTACTCCTACTCCTACTACTACTGGTCCTACTACTACTACTGGTCCTACAACTACTACTACTACTGGTCCTACTACTACTGGTCCTAACACTACTACTGGTCCCACTACTACTACTACTACAACTTCTACTCCTACTACAACTTCTACTCCTACTACAACTACTGGTCCTACTACTACTACTACTACTACATCTGGTGCTACTACTGCTACTACTGATGCTGCAACTACTACTACTGGTTCTACTACTACTTCTACTGCTGCTACTACTACAACATTTTGTAGAATCTGGCGAGTGAATAGCATTCTCGTTTCTCAGCAAGAATATCCTGGGTGCGAATCCCTGTTGGAACAAACAGAGGTTGCCATACAGACTGGAACAGGTTCTGTATGACAAACTCGCTCCCATCTCTGTGTGGAGTGAGGGACAAAAGCCCACAACAATTATAAAGCACTTTGTGACTCAGGTCTGTGAAAAGTGCTATACTGTATAAATAAAAATGACTTACTTACTTAAGCTTGTTTTGGAGCACAGTACAGAGTTTTGGTTCCTCTGGATCAGCTCATTCCCCAATCAACAGTAAAAATGCTGTGTCTGGCAAATAATATTACTCAATTTCATCTTTTAAATTACATTTAGTGGTGGGAGGTCGCCCCCATAGAAGATCTATGCTGTATACAACTTGCAGTTATAAAACTGTATGATTCCTGTGAGAAGGCTGAAAAAGAAATCTATGGGGGGTTTGGAACCTCAGGGATCACAGGAACATCGGCGATTATCAGTTATCCATCGGCGTCAGTTTTGTCGATGCCTTGAAACTATAGTAATGATCGCCATCTGCTGGCGGTGTAGAGCACTGCACAATTGAAATAAATAAAACTAGAGGAAAAGAGGAATATGACAGCCCTTTGTCCGTTGGACCCTTTTGAATAAGTTACAGACCTGTTTAAGCTTTAGTTTTGTGGAATTTAAACTTTTATCAAGGTTTATGGAAGCTAATATTATGCTTTTATGTGCTCGTTTTAGATTACCTGCGTTAGTAGAAAACTAGTTGGGTGAATTTCTCTGACGATTCTGTACTGAGCTCAATGTTATATACTCCTATTTTCACCAACTGAGCCGGATCCTCTTGACTTGGAGGAGCAGCAGTTCTACTCTGAGCTCCTCCCATGTGAATAAGCTAATTCTCTTATCAATTTACTTGTATCCATATATTTCCCACTCCAAAACATGCCATGCCACAGTAAGAGCATCCTCAGCAGTGGTGGTGTCTTGCTCGTGGACACATGCTTGGGATTCTAACCTCTGACCCTTTTGCGTCAGTGTGTGTCCCACTCATGACTCGTCTTTTGTGGATCTGAATTCCAAAAATGTGTGTTTAAATTTGGACTGCCGCGAGTGACCTCAGCCCTGTCATCTCCAGCTGCTGAGGATACACAGCTGACGCCATCACAGTAACATCTTGAGTACATACTACTACTACTACTGCCAGTATTACTTCTACTGCTACTTCTTCCACTGCTACCATTAGTACTACTGCTGCCACTGCTACTACTACTACTACTACTACTACTACTGCTGCTGCCGCCATTACTACTAATACTACTACTACTACTACTACTA